GAAAAGGACTACTACCGTCTCATGATCACGAAGGGAAGAGATCAACTTGTTCTTTCTGTGCAAGGTGCAAAGAGGGTGGCCACCATTGAACGATTTGACAAGCTCATTGGAAACATTGTGCCTGAAGAATCATCACCCGATCTAGACGAACTTCGAAAACTTGTCGATATCAGGACCGGTCACTTCAGTCATACTCACAGATTGTTCCCTGGACATCCGGATTGGAATGATGCAATTTCATTATTGGCAGTCACTCATCACCCTAGCAAAGAGGACCATCGACTATGCCCCGCATGTCTGATGGCGACCCCTGCGCCATTATCGATTTGTGTGATGTGCAAAGGATTTTTGGTAAGTCATGGATGGAGGAAACGAATCAAGATCACCGTGGCTACAGTACCAAAGGCCGAATCACATCATCGAGAAGAAGATCTCAAAGACCATGTCAAGAAAGCATGGGAGGAGGTGAAGATCGATTTGACAGGTGATGATGATGACGACGAGGTGATGCCAGATGATGATGATGTCACCATGAAGAGTCCAGAACAAGAAACTCAACCAGAAGAAGGAGATGATGATCAAGCCTCGAAGAAGGGCGACATCAATGATGAGAAAAGAGACTTCAGAGAACAAGATGAGGTCGACAAATTTCTCAATCAAGAAGGAAAACCGACCGATGAGAACGATGATGAAGAGATAGCGGTCGATGAAATCAACATTGAAGAGTACGAGGCTGGAGAAGCTCGTGATGCAGTGATTGAGTACCCCAAGTGGATGCAGCGGATTGAGTTTGGATCAAAGGTCCTGCCGATCGAACCTTGCACAATTGGAGATGCTCAGCCAGAATTCATCAAGATCCTCCTGTTGCAGATTGGATTACATATCGTCAGGATCTACAGACTATTCCAACGGAACTTCTGTGGAGACATCGAGACGGCATGGAAACATTTTCAACAGAACCAGAAATTCAGGATGGACCTGGACTCAAGAACACCTTACCTGGGCGAGGATGAAAATGGTGAACTCATTGAACCAACTGCACAACAGATGAAAGAGCTCTACAAAGAGATCGGCCGACCAAATCAAAAGGACGACATCGGAGAAGAGGGATTCGTCAATGCATACTATGGGGCAGTGGTACTCAAAAGACTTCTCATATATACCCTTGAATGTGGCTACACGTATGATGACTTGCAAAACATATTCTTTGATTCTGATGAGGAGATGGAGAAGCTGTCGAAACGTGACACCACAATGGATGAGATGAGAAAGACCACAGCGGCCCGCGACGCCCTTGACCGACAAGACGTCATGGTCAGAAGAATCATTGCAGGTGCATATAGGGTAAATGCTGTTTATTTCTTCAGGAACGTTGACTTTCAAGACACAATCACACTGAATCCAGTTGACATTGTGTGTGCTCTTCGTCCACCACTTCGAAGAATATCACTTTTACACCTGATCCTTCAGAATGGCCGACAATTGCCGCGACCTCTACTCCAAAAGCTATATGATGCGATCGATGACTACAATCACATCAAGCAACGGGAAGATCAACGACCAAGGTGGGGCATCCACTTGTCTGAAGCTCACATACTTGCGATTGCTGATACCCCGACTCCTACTGATCGTGAACGTGCCAATCCAGCCGCTGGCAAATCGAAAGCAGCCCCGAAAGCTGCACCAGCACTGGGAAGAGTGTCGAAGGCGAAAGCATCATCGTCAGCGACATGGAGAACAGTTGAAACCGCTCCTCCGCCAAAACAAGCTCCAGTGACTCCGCCAAAGAAGGGTGGAAAAGACCAAGGAAAAGGTGGAAAATCTTATTCACACCGTGGCGGAGACTGGAACCAACAGGGATACTATGGATGGGGATATAGATGATTAAGCGATCTGACCTCTGCATAGGTCCTGATTGAACCTGGCGATGCGAGGATGCAATCATTGCTCGAGATTTACCTCTACTTCATTTTGAATGATTTCTGAGAGGACTCTGAGCCGGCTAATTTAGAACCACACATTTTTTTTGAACATCATTGCATGAAACGCTGAGTTTCTACAGCGGTCTACGTCTCAACCGACGAAGGGACGGGAAGGTAAACTTCTAGTTCCATAGTCAACTTTGTGTTTTGATTTCTTTAATTCACATGCTTGAGTGAGACTCCATGCTGGCTACGCCACATTGGATGAACCTCAATGCTAGACACCGACTACGTCGTGTCTACATGCACGTGAACAGAACCTTCATTTTTTGGTAGAGATTGTAGCAAGCCGCCATGTAGATATGAAGTTCTGAACGGACTTTAGCTCTCCATAATTCAATAAATGAACAGCTGCGAGTGTAGTGGATCAATTCAAAGAACACTCCTTTGCGCGTAGCCAACAAAGTTGGCTATGCGTGGGGGGTGCGAATAGAGTGTAGGCTACGGATCAAGTATAATATCACAACTAAACACTCTGTGATCCAGCACCAAAGGGGCAATCCGAACTGGCCTCTTTGGCTCAAGACCCACTGCAGCACTGGAGAAAAGATCAGCAATGCGGAAGCAGCTGCCCGTGTGACGTCGTCGAACTGGAACATTTATTCTCAACATCAACCATTGGAACATAATCGGGTAGGCAATCCCCGATTCGCAATATATATATATATATATGTTACATATGGATGAAAAATCGGAGAAATCTACAAGTTGTTTTTGTCACTGGGTTTGAACCCTGTGGCCTTTGCCAACCTTCACGGATCACATCCAGGCCAACCAGAAGGAGACAGCATTGTTAAAGATCTCTCCCTGTCCCTCTCTCTCTCTCTTGTTTTGTAGTAGCTAGTACGTACTTGTTTGATGAGGTTTATGTGCATTCCAATGACCAAATATTTAGCCATCCAAATATGTTTTTTTTTCCTTCAGAAAAAACATCATTGCATTTTCTTTGCAAGCATCGGCATTTTGATGGAAATTTAAACGTAGTGTTCTTGTCTGGTTGGGCATTCTCCCAACACATGTCAATGACCTGCACCGGGAAGGTTCGGACGGTGGCAGTGCTGAGGCGTGGTTGTGGCCAATGCCTCTTCAATCAAAAAACTCCAATGTCCGTTTTATTGGACGCTTTTCCGAATAGATCCAGATCCTGGAGCGAGTTTCTGATGAGAGACCATGGGGATAGGCCCGGCATGTGATAAAATGTGATAAACCTGGGGACTTCAGCTTCTTGAAGTGCGAAAGCTGGAGAAAATGTGTGAACGTGTGAACTAACTAAAGAATATGGGATCTGACAGCAACATGTGGAGTGGTCAGGAGTGGTCAAAAATCCATGCAACCAAGATATTTCATGATATTTCGGTAGGAACGACAGGGTGCCAGGGTTTTGACCTATAGTACCCACAGCCTATAGCAATGTCACGAATAAACCATGGATTCGATAACAACGGGGGATGGTTCCCAAGGTAGCCGCTAATCGAGAAATTGCCCAGTTGAATCTACACATAGAAAAAGTACATCAATGTATCCGTGAATCATATATATATATACAATATATAACCTCCAGTAGTAATGTATATATATATAATTATATATGTATATATATATACATAACAATGTACGTAGTACGTATATATAATTTTTACGCAGACAGTATAATCAGCAATAAATCTTTGCGACCCCTTTTTTGAACCATTCAGCCGAGGAATTTGAACCCAGTCTGGTTTGACACGGGGAAGAGTGGAATTCGCTCAGCCGTGCGCGTCGCCGCGCCTGTGAAGAAGCTGGACTCTTGAGGAGCCTGGAAGCTGGCTGGACTTTGAGGATGATGAAAAACAAACAAACACCAGGAGCAGTTTGTATATGTACTGATTGTACTGACAATTATCAACAACTATGATTATAGTTATATAATTATAGTTGTTATTCATTCTGTTATTCGTTACTATTCTTATTGCTTGGAGATGTTTGGGCACACAACTGTCGACCAATTTGCATGGTTTGGTCTCAGAACTGAAAGATTTTCACTATGGAGTTGCGTCCGAAATGTTTGAGCGGTATGCACAGTGCCCAATTTTTCAAAACTGAAGCGTGTAAATATTGGACAGTGTAAAGGATTGTAAAGGGTGTAGAATCGCACATTGTTTTTGATTCAGGTAGCCATGGTGTGGAAACCACATGTTCGTTTGCAAGCAGCACTCTGGGCAAGCTTGGTAAGTGATGATTCTTTGGTGCATCCGTCTATGTGCGACAATCTTTGACATTGCTTCGTTTGCTTTCAATCTGTGGCTGCCTGAAATTTTCCAACAACCTCGCTACATCTCGCGACTCCCTTTGCTGCTTGGTGATTTTAAAGATTGCTAACTTTCCATCCCGCCAAATGAGAGAATGATCCCCATTGGATACTGCTCATGAAGGTAAGCCTCAGTAATTTCGTAACGGGCAATATGTAAACGATGGCCGAATGTTATGCCACATCGTTTACTCTGCGTTTTAAGACGTGTATCAGTAACATCCAGTAAGTTCTCAAACTATTGGAATCCAAAAGCCATATTTTTTTGCAAACTTTCGCTTCAAATCAGTCAATGGAATCTGTCATTGCAACCAGATTTGGTGCTGTCCTTTTGATTTCGGCCTGGGTCGGGATGCCAAATGGCTGGTGACTCCTTTTGCGCGCCGCGTGCAAGAGTCAAAAATGATCGTCGCGGTCATTGGCAGACAAGTTGACTTGTGGCCATAGGGCTCGCCCAAGGGCAAACCACTTTCAAAAACTGCCATTCCCTGCATGGATTTGACCCTGCTTCACGTGAGTTCGGGGCTTTGGGTGTGATGCAGTGCATCCGGTGGCTCCCAGTTCAGGTGGTGCATTTTGGGCGTGTGACGTCCATGTAGGGCAGAGGCTGCAAACTCAGTGGCCCACCTATGGGGCCACTTTCACCACTTCACCTATACCCACCTTCCAGATGACCCAAGCACCAGCCAGCAAGCTTCAGCCCATAGGGCTGTTGGATAGGGGCACCCCTAGCCGCCTCACCTGTGAGCTGCGCAACATCCGCCACCGCGGATGTGCTGGCCATGGGATTGCCGCGACCGCAGAGTCAAGGTAGCAATCGGCCACTGCAAGGCTGGGCAAGGTGGAGGGTGGTAAACCTGACGAGGTATATTTTATATATATATATATAAATATGTTCTGGTATTAGGTATAGATATTAGGTTTGGTATCAATATTAGGTATATTTTGGTATTTTGTACAACCAGGCACATATTATTTTGTATTTTATATGTGGTGCTACTTGTTGTTGCTATGAATGGAAATTGTAACCTGACCAGCCAAAAAATCGCAAGACTATTTACCATGTGGTTTCTACTACCTGGGATGGTGCCTCAATACCATCTGATTTTATAGAGTCATATTTCTTGCAATCTGGATGTTTCCTGATTTTAACCCAGGAAAATCTATATGTAGAATAGGGTGACTTGGGTCACTGGTGAAATTCATGGTGGATTTTGTTATATATATATATACATATATATATACATATACACATGTAAATATATATATACACAATACATATATATATATATATATTTACATTTAGATATACCTATGTATATATATATATATTTATTTAGAGATAGATATTGATAAAAGTGACTATGCTTTTTCAATTTAATTGACTTTTGATTTTGCCGGAGCAGTTGAAACCAGCAACAAGTCGAATTTGTTAGATGGATAGCAAGATCTGTAAGTGTTAAGTGTCATCCATGACACATTCCTATGTTTTGTTCCTCATGGATTGTGATCCAGTTGCCAACCATTTGCTAACTTGAAGGCTCGTGCCAGATTCCTCTCATTACAGGAACCAGCAGCAATAATCCCTGGATCTGGTTTCGCGGGGATTGCGGCTTAACCTATCCAACGAACCCCTGTTGACCAGCCAGTATTTCAGATAGGCTTGGGGTTATTTTTTGGCCTCAAAACTAGGTACCCAAGAATTGATGGTTGATCAGTTGATCATCGTGTTCCCAACAGCAGTCTAGCGCGGGGCATCCGGGCATCAAGAAGCACCCAGCCCTGTTCTTGAGCCCAGCCTAGACCTCTTGCGGGCGAAACTTCGATGAAGTTCGATGAATTGCCCAGCTACAAAGCTTCATAGATATTTTGTGGAATTCCCAGCTCGCCATGTTTGAAATACCATCAGGATCCATCAAATTGTTCAACATAGCTATGCAAAATGGCGTATTTCATGATTTTCATGATGAGTTACCAATAAAGACCGTGAAATTTCCAGTTCGCTACGTCATAAACATGATGATGTACTAAAAACAACGGTGAATTTCTGCTATAGAAATGAATGGGTACCATTAGATTTATAAATCTATGAAAATACATAATATATATATATATTTTTTTTTTCCATATTGTAAGATATAGATGGTATCATGGAAATCACCTGGCTCCGGGTCCCTCATCCATCGGCTCCAGGCCTGGCTCCAGGCTCGGCGGTGTTTCGGCCGTCTTCCGCGGCATCGCTTGAGCCCTGGAGCCTACAGGAGACCCAGCAGACCCAGCGGAAATTTCAGGTGATTTTTCAGCATCTAACATGAGGATATCTTGGAAAAACATCCATGGGTATCGAAGGAAGTTTAGAAGTCAAACTTCCGACAAGATGGACAGATGAAAAGCAGAGATGGGCAGAGGCAGAGAGAAGAGAAGAGTAGAAGAGAGCAGATCAGAGAAGAGAAAGAGTCAGAAGAAAGAAGATGCAGATGCGTGAAAAGGTAGGAAAGTCGCGAAACACTGTGTTTTTCCAATGATTTGTGGCTCCGGAGGGTCGAAAAGTAGGCTCGCTAAAGCGGCGGGTGCGGAGCCATCTGGCCAGATGAGCGATGAAAAAGTGCACGCCGTTGTGGCGCGAAGCACATTTCCAAGTCAAAATGTGCAAAACACACCATGCTCGGACCACTCTTGGAAGTTGAGATGTCGAAAAAGTGCACGCCGTTGTGGCACGAGGCACATTTCGAAGTCAAAATGTGCAAAGCACACCATTCTCGGACCACTTTTGGAAGTTGAGATGTCGAAAAAGTGCACGCCGTTGAGGCGCGAAGCACATGTCGAAGTCAGAATGTACAAAGCACACCAGGTTCGGACCACTTTTGGAAGTTGCGATGTCGAAAAAGTGCACGCCGTTGCGGCGAGAAGCACATTTCGAAGTCAAAATGCACAAAGCACACCAGATTCGGACCACTTTTGGAAGTTGCGATGTCGAAAAAGATGAAAAAGTGCATGCCGTTGTGGCGCGAAGCACATTTCGAAGTCAAAATGTACAAAAAATCACTAGGGGTTCGGACCACTTTTGGACATTCAGATCTTGTTTCGTGTGGCAGGCGCAAGGGATTGTGCACCTTGTCAAACGTGAGCAAAACGTGAGGGTTTGTAGCATCTCCAAAAAGGATGGCAGGCATGGGACATTTGAAGAGGATCTGCAAAGATGCATTTTCCGTGGCAGGTGCAGTACAAAAGACATGTTCATCAGAGATGTTAGGAGGTCAGGGCGCTGATTTCCTGAGAGGGGTTGCATTTTGGAGCATCACATCTGTAGGTTTGCTAAGATGATTTTGCGTGACAGGTGCAGCACTTCGTATGACCTGGCATCACTTTTTCGTGGCAGGCGCAGTACTTTAGACACATGGAATGGAAAAATCGCAAAACGTATTGGCACGAGGCCGTCAGCGCTGCAGTCAACTTTCCATTTTTGAAGGGAGTCTCGCAGAATTCTTTCGTTTTTGATGTTGTCAAGTGTGAAAATGAAGAAGTCTCGCAGAATTGCTTCCTTTTTGACGTTGTTAAGTTCAAAAATGAAGGAAGTCTCGCAGAATTGCTTCGTTTTTGATGTGGTCAACTTAAAAAAAGGAGGAGGTCTCGCAGAAGTGTTTTCTGTTTGATGTAATCAACTTCAAAAAATGAGGAAGTCTCGCAGAAGTGCTGCGTTTTTGATGTTGTCAACTTGGGAAATGAAGAAGTCTCGTAGAATAGCAAGGTTTTCAAGCGTGCAGATAGACAGGTAGATAGATAGACAGACAGACAGACCGAGAGATAGATAGATAATTTGTTGGTTGATAGATAGAAACATAAATAGATAGATAGATAGATAGATAGATGGATAGATAGATAGATAGATGGATAGATAGATAGATAGATAGATAGGTGGATAGATAGATAGATTGATTTAGATAGATTTAGATAGATTTAGATAGATTTAGATAGATTTAGATAGATTTAGATGGGTTTAGATAGATTTAGATAGATTTAGATTTAGATAGATTTAGATAGATTTAGATGGGTTTAGATAGATTTAGATAGAGATAGATAGAGATAGATAGAGATAGATAGAGATAGATAGAGATAGATAGATAGATCGATAGATCGATAGATCGATAGATCGATCGATAGATCGATCGATAGATCGATCGATCGATAGATCGATAGATCGATAGATAGATCGATATATCGATAGATAGATGGATAGATAGATAGATAGATAGATAGACAGACAGATGGATAGATAGAAAGATAAATAGATAGATGGATAGATAGATGGATAGATAGATAGATAGATAGATAGACAGATGGATGAATAGATAGAGATAGATAGGTAGATAGATAGGTAGATAGATAGAAAGATAGCTAGACACATAGATAGATAGATAATCAGAGAAAGAGAGAGAAAGAGAGAGAAAGAGAGAGCAAGAGAGAGAAAGAGAGAGAACAAGAGGGAAAGAGAGAGAAAGAGAGAGAAAGAGAGAGAAAGAGAGGAGACCTCAACCACCTTTCGATCCATCAGTGGCTTCGCTCTGCCATCCATGATTCACAACAACCAGCTTCTCCTATAGGTTTCCTATCTTTGAAACTTCCGCCACCGCCTTGTGCGGTACTACTGGTAGATTGTATAGATAGGATAGGGTAGGATAGGATAGGATAGATAGATAAATGGAGATAGATAGAGACAGATAGATAGATAGATAGATAGATAGATAGATTTAGATAGATAGATAGATTTAGATAGATTTAGATAGATGGATAGATAGATCAATAGATCGATAGATAGATTGATAGATTGATAGATAGATAGATTGATTGATTGATTGATAGATTGATAGATAGATTGATAGATAGGTAGATAGGTAGATAGATACAGGTAGATAGGTAGGTAGATAGGTAGGTAGATAGGTAGATAGATAGGGTAGATAGGATAGGGTAGGGTAGGATAGGATAGGTAGATAGATAGTTAGATAAATAGGTAGGTAGATAGATAGATATGATCATGGATCTGCGGAGACACCGCACTGCGACCTCACTGGAAACATGTATTATGCACGGGGAATCATCCCCAATGTCCTTAATTCAGGTTAGCGTTTTTTTTTTAATTTACCTAGAATTACGCACCCTCGAGTAAATTAACATAGACTAATAGACCCTGGCTAACCCTGGAAATAGATGAACATAACAGCCAATTTCTAATGGAAACTAATCTTCCACCCCCGTGTTTGGCAGGGTCTATGTTGATTTACTGGAGGGCAACATGCTGTAACATGATTCAATCATCTAACATGGGGATATAGATTAAACAAAAACATTGTTGGCATGAACTTTTTATACTTTACTATATTATACTATATGATATATATGGCCAATATTTACCATTGGCTGGTGGATTTTCCTTTAATCTTATTTTTGATGGGTATGTAATGGTGGTATATAAGCGATAAATCTGGTATCTAGTAGGCATATACTGGGATATCATATGATATAATGGGATGATGGCTGGTGGGTTCATTTTTTTAAATGATCAATCCTTGAAATGGAAGGACGAGCCCAACACATGTTGTTCAGGGGGTTGAAAGCACCAACCAGCGGTGATGATGATGATCCCAACCTCATCACATTAAAAAAAATGCATCATATGGCTATGGATCCATACGTCCATACCCATGAATGCCATTTTTTAGGTGGTGAACTTCCATTTTGGAGTTCGACTCAGATGTTCAACCGCTGGTTTCACAGCTGCAGGAGCGCACCGGGCCCAAAGATGCCACAGCCAACGGCTCAGAAAACGGAATACGATGGGTAGTTTAATCCTATCATTTTTGGCCATACGTGGGAATATTTATGTGTATTTAAATCTTATATATACAATATAAATGCATGTGAATATAGATCAGTTTGTTTTCTTTGTCTCTTCCCCGGGGAGATTGGCCTAGTGACTTTTTGTGTTTTCCAGGTGATCTACTAATGTGGCTGGAAACGCAGCCATGCATCCCAGTTTGTATTTAGATCATTTAATTACACTGAATTACCTGTTGTAACTATATTTCATGGCCAGAATCAATTGTCAAAGGCAGCCCCGGGTCAGGGTTGGAGAATCCATAGCCTCACAGTCAAGGATGGTTTACATCAGGGAACACATTAGATTCTTAGATGTGACCTCAAAAATGGTTTGGGATATCTTGGGATTAATGATTAATGTGTATAGGTATGTTTTTAAGTATATATATATATACATATATGGTGCATACACATTTGTTTGTTTCTTTGCACATAAACAATCCCTCAAACAGATAGAAAACTGGAATCCTTGTGAAATAGTGATACATTTCTTCTCTCAGTTGTTTTGGGTTACTATATTTGTAAGTATACATACGCATTATGTAATGGTGATGCAAGAAACACATCAAGCATGACTGACCTCACAGGAAATTTTGGTTAGTTTGGGAGCAACTTTCGTTGTTACGCTGCTGTGTATCCCCATCGAAGATCATTAAAGAAAAAGTATGAGGACAGTTTATCAAGGGTCCAGGCATATGTGCTAATCGAAAAAAACATCATGATTCCTTGCCAAGGATTAGTGTTCATTTAAATTACATTTCAACTACATATGCACATTTAGTGCTTCATCCTTTTGGGTCATCCAAAAACCTCATTTCTGGGTTATGACCATCCCCATTTCTATCCACAGAGGATTTTCCATCCGTGTTTCATTACCGGAGGGTAAGCCTTTAGTTTATCAATTTATCATATATATCATCCTATGGTTACCTCAGCCAGCAATCGTTCATCCATGCATTGATTTCTTAGTTTATTTGTTTCTTCCTTCCTTCGTTTCATTCATTCGTTCATTCATTCATTAATTTATACATTCATACATATAGATATATATTCGTATATTCATTCAGTGGCTGCTTTATTCATATATTCGTTGATTAATTAATGCATTGATTCTTTCATGTCATCCATCGTTTCATTTAAGAAAACATGCATTGCCTGTTTGCTTCGTTGATTTGCGCTCATGTGATTTCATTGCCATCTCCATAGTTTATTTGCTCATCAATTGAAGACCTTGCAACCTCAATCATTCATTGCTTCTGCATAATTAAGTCAAAGATTTCTTGTGGTCACTGCTCTTTTTCGAAACTTCCTCCCTGCCACGGCCGCAGTACTGGTTAGTATCTCGATTGTATATTGAAGATTCCATAATTATATGGAGGATCACCCCACTTGTAGTAAACTGGTTAGTAGCTCTTGTTAGAACCCATTTATAAGTGGGAAAACGCACTGAATGGGCTCTGACCAACCAGGGTTATTGACTACCTATCTATCTATCTATCAATCTATCTATCTGTCTATCTATCTATCTATCTATCTATCTATCTATCTACATATATATATATATATATCATTATACATATACACACACACACACACGCTCTAGACGTTAGCATATTAACGACTTTCCGGCCGAATCTCCCAGAGTTTCACTTCGACTTCAGGTCATTGAACTGCCGACGCCTGAGAAGAGCCCCGGCAGCTTTGCGAAGTTTGCGCGGCAAAGGCAGCCCTTGGGTCTGACACGTTGGTTTACTTCATTAGGGTTGGACTATGGTGATGAAATAACGACGATGCGATGGGGTTAAAAAAAAACACTTCACCTTTTCCTGGTGGTGCTTTTCAATTGAAGATCCCAGCCTTGGTTTGAGTTTGATAATGCTTTACAGGGGTCAGTCAAGCCTCCGAAAGGGTGATGCTCATGGAGGAAGCATGTGGACATTTCAGTGGTGTGGCCAACATGGGAGAAAAAATAGCGTAAAACCGTTACTCGTAATACTAATCAAGTGTCATAGATCTCTAGAGGAATACTTAAAGATATTCAACATATATATATATATACAGTATATACATTATCACATTTGGTGTCTAACATAGAGGAATATAGAGGATATATATATATATATGTTAGATGTTTGCAGTGAGCACCAGTGGCCATTTCCTGGGGTTTCCTGGGTCAATACGTTGAACTACTTCAAAATTGATCAAACTTGCCACTTTAATGGGGAACATGATGATAAACAATGCAATTTTGGGGTACAGAAAATCAGTGCTTGCCTGCAGGAGCGTTGGCCTTGGACGTCTTTGGGGTGACCCACCCTGGCTGCAAAGCAGTCCCGAACTCAGAAACTTGGGTGAAACGTCTCTTCTAATACTAAGATGCTGATTGAATCGCACCAAAAAATGATGTTCATGTCGAAAAAATGATAAATGTATATATACTCAGAATAATTGCTAGTTAAATATGCATACATGTACATAAGGTATCTCTACTACATGATGATAAACGCGGAGGGATGATGAGAGATGTGTATTTATATAATTACATATCATACACGTAAAAAAATCATAAGAATATAAAGAAAGTTAGAAGTTTGCGTGCGGCGCGTGCGGGTATCAGTAGTGATTGTCTCCGGACGACTGGAAAGCATGACCCGGGCGGCGACTGAGGCTGTTCAGACATGGCCCTTGGTCTCAGTGGGGATGTGTCAAGTTGGAACCCCAAAATGGCAAGTTGAAGGAGGAAATATATGGTTGATATACCCTCTGGTTATTTAACATAGCCATGGGAAATGGCCCATTTATAGATGGTTTACCTATTTAAAAATTTCATTTTCCATGGCTATGGCTATGTTAAATAACCAAATGGTATAGAATTAACCATCTATAATAGCCATATATCCACTAATTAGTAATAGTAACAATATCAGTAATTATTGTATAAATAACCAATTCAACAGTAGCAACAATAATGACAACAATATCAGTCATTACTGTCACTTTAGTAACCGTAATCATGGAATTATAATCGGATCTGTTTCACCTCATGATATTGGTCTGAATAGGAAATGAATGCGATTGGTTATAAGTGCCTTAATCACGATAGTCATGTTGGTGGTTTAGGGCTGTTTAATTCATGGCAATACAATACAGCGCGATAGTCATGATGGAGAATGAGGGAGAGAGACTGGCTGGGGGTATTTGGGTGTCTACCTTTTTGCGACATAAAGGGATTTCCGGGATGCCATGATCTACAAGGATTCATAAGCCCCCAAGGGAAGGCAAAACCCCTCACAGTCAAGCAGCGATCCTGTTTTACAGGATGTATCACCTGTTTCTTAGTGGAAAGGCCACAGCTTTTCCCGTTCCCACACGGGATGGCAGGGGTAAATCAGGACACACATCTCAACCGTTAGGGTGGGTCTTTTGTTTTGCTCCAACCTGCTTCGGTGTGCAATTCGTCAACATAAATGAATATGCAGGGCAGCTGGGAGGGGTTTAGGAGGGCGGGGTGTTGGATTCACATCATAGCAACACATATATGCACTTTTTACTTTATATATATATATACACATACATATACATATAATATACATGTACATATACATGTCATTATATACATATATATACATATATATATATATACGTTTGTGTGTGTAGACATACGCAGTGATGTGCGGTGATAGTCTACAGTTCATGTTTGTGACACCCACGCACTTCCCTTGCAGAACTGAGGGTATTTCTTAGCCGCATCAAATGGGGTGGTTAAATGGGGTGCGTTTTTTTTTTTCTGGATATGCTGGCCACTATATATATATATATATGTATATGTATATATATATATATGTCATGTGTGTGTTTGTGTGTGTACAAAATAGCTATATCTACATATATATTTGGTCAAATTTGAAAAACAAACACACAAGTGTTGCATATCATATGATCTCATGCTATACATCAATGTTTTTTTAACGCATCAACGATCATGTATACTGGTTTCAATGCTTTAACCAGGGTTCTTGATGCCTCACATGGCGTTGCAACAAGGAGCTGACAGGACTAAGCCCTTTCAGCAATAAAGGCGCCCTAGCGGCGGATGGGATGGGGAAGAGTTTCTGAGCCCATCAGTGGCCATGAAACAGGAAGCGATGAAAAATGGACGTACCTACCATATGTTTCAGTGTCTATTTTTCAGGGCTATGTAAGGGCATGTAGCCCCAAAATAGATGTCTTTATATGGCACGGTGCCTCCAGTTTAAGTACCTGAAATGTATGTATTTGCACGTTTCCCTTCTCCATGTATCGTTAATTTCTGTATGTCTACATTGAAACATGTCATGTTATGTGTGTGCATAGGTGTTTTCTTATACGGATATATACATGTATATGATAGTTATATATACATTGAGACATACATGTATACACATCATTATGTAAATGTGAAGTAATCTTCCATACTATAAAAAGATACGAAAGTGTATCACCGATGTTGATATAAATTTGAACCCCACGTGGCGTGAGTTTAATGCAGGCATGCAGGAAGTCTAAGGCAACACGAAACGCAACAACTGGATGCCCAGAACAATATACTGTAATCACAAAACAATGATATTTCAAAGAATCTGGGCCAGGGTCATATATATAATTATAACGACCTCACTGCGACTGAACCCTGGAATAATGGTTATAGTACAATAGTAAGGAGAATGAAGCCCAATGTTTGATGGTGAATCAAGAATCCTCGTTGCTTGCAACTGCTTCGGCGGCGCCAAACTCTTCAGAAAATCACCGTGGAAGGCTCGAGTGATGGCACCGCCCGCAGTTGGACTAGGCCACCTTTTTTGCTGCGCTGGTTGGTGACGTGGGGGACATGTGTAATCCCACAAAGTGGATAGTGGAATGCCCAAAACAGGATTGGATACTGTAGCTTAATGCAAAGTGGACAGTTCAATCATGGCTCTCGAATTTGCCCGATACCTGTGTTCAGGGATCAGAACTGGGGCAGGAAGAACCAGGCAATTGCAGGGCAATTCTGTAGGGGATGCTGCATTTTTCCATTGTGAGGAAGATTAGAGCACTTCCAAACCCTGGATATCCAGTGTCGATGTTTACCTACGCCCTACGCATTTGTGTAACGTCGACGTTTACCTTTGAGACATGTCGTGCAGCATTGTTTTCAAACTGTTCTACTGTTGAATCTTGATCTTGGGCATGTTTTATTCGTTGAAATCATGCAAAATCACTTTGAATCATATTTGGCAGGTTTTCCGATCGGATGTCGTTCTGCTTTCATTCAACTCATGATGATGTACCTGTAATTTTCAAGCACTGCCAGACTGTAGTGTGAATGGACTGACATCTATTTATTGTACCTATTTAGAGCTATTTAAGAGTTGAATGACCCGGATGAAATATGATAAAATGGCCACTATCTGGAGACTCATTACAGGATGGTGCCTCCGAGTTAATAAGTTGCTTTATCAACCCCATTCAGCATAGTTATCTAGTTCTACTGGTTGGTGGTTTGGAACATTTTTTATATTTCCATATATTGGGAATAATAATCCCAACTGACTTTCATATTTTTCAGAGGGGTTGAAACCACCAACCAGTATTGTATCTACCATAAACCATAGATCTCAGCCACTTATAAGCCACCTTAGCTATTTTGAGGGCCCCCCAAGCCGAGTCCAGCGATGAGCCAGGCCACACCGAGCTTCGGGACGCAACAAGGGACGACAAGCCACGAATTCCGCCTGGGGCGGCTCGGTTGAAGACCCTGTTTTGGGTAACGTGTGCCAAATGGAAGGTATATGCTATAATGATTTGATATAATTTAGCATATGCCAATATTATCAAGGACACGCACGCACGAAAATGTGTTTTGGTTTGGGAGTGCTGTGTTGATGTTCCAAAAGCGACGCGACGTGTAAAAACAGCAGAAATGTGGACACCGATGCTGATGGAATTTGAGAACACTCACTGCTTGGGCGACATCAATTTTTGATAAATGACATGACTCAATCTGCTTGGTGGCTTGGTGGTTTCCAATAAACGGGTTGCTTCCACAATCCTATATGATGGTTCCCATTGACTATTTTTCAGTGGGGTTGCAGCCACCACTCAGTAATAGAATTCTAATAGAATCAAGGTCTTTTTAGCGTTGAGGATGTTAAAGAAGGCACAAACTTGGGATTATGTCCGGCAACAGAAATGAGGGATTTGCTAACATTGGCACCCCGGGGTTTAACATTGATATGTTGCCACCAGTATGAGGTAAATCGTCCACTGGACGAGTGAAATGCCCCTTGACCCCGAGAGGGGTCTTGTAAGCTGGAATCTCCATGGTTGCAGCTGCCCATTGAGAAAAGAGTGAAACATAGTTTAACATAGTAACTAGACTAACTAGACAGTGACATAGTATGTTTTGTGTTGTGAGGGTAAATCCCAATTTGTCCAAGGTAAATCATGGTATCTCAATCCTTCCTTTTGTTTGTGACGTGGATTTTCAGGCTCAATACAGCGTGATGAGTTGTGGTCATTGCTAAGGTGGTCCAAACTTGGTTCGTTTCCTTGTTTACCAATGTTTATCACAGGGTTGACCCTCTAAACTGGCTTGAATGGTGGGAACCCCAGTGTGTCGAGCGGCCATCAGACATGTCACGGGCATATATATATATAAGAGAGATTGTCGGTTTTTTTACTGACACATATGTGTGCGCTTGCATTTGACTCAGAGACTCCGCCATGTTTCAGATGCTGCATACGAATGAATCATTCTTGAATATGGACGTTGGAGCAACATAACATAATATAATTATTCAAAAACAACTATTGTAGCCACGAAGAATGAAGACATAGTTTTTCACTTTGGAATGGGTTGAAACCTGCATGCCTAGTACACTTGGGGGTAATGAAAATCCATAAGTCACACGTATTTTGATGTGAAAACCAGTGCGATTGCGCCCCCTTCCGCGGAAATATCGAGGTCGTTTGGATCTTGGAGTTTGTCGGGATCAATTAGCACAAGAGCCTTGGATGACTCGGCGTGTTCACCATTAGTTGGACTTCATCAGCGGCTAAGGTTGGGGATATGTAAGACATATGATGCAACATCACAAGCACATCAAAAACACCAAAACAGTGATCCATGAATCCATCGTGGATTTTGGCATCACTTTAAGCGAAAAACACTCCAACATGTTGGCATTTTCACCACCAAAATCATCCACATGTTTTACAGTCAGGGTTTTGCCATATCGATTTTGATGGTAACTGCGTTTCCCACAGGAAGCTATGCTGGCACGTCGGAAGCTGAAAGCCAACGAGTCAGACGTCATGTCCAAGAAGGTCCACGGCCTGTTTTTTGGGAAAGATTGGCTTATGAAAGTGAAATCATATGTTGATCTACCTATAAGATTATATATTATATATCCATATATATATATCTTAAAATTAACCTACCTTGACAATTAACTCTAATTACTGGTGTCTACAATGGCTAACTTATATATAGACCATCTTAACCATGAAGGACTACACACACATATATATATATATATATATATCCCGTTATATCCATTTTTTAGCATATTGTATCCATGAGATGCTAACCATCTATTGCATGGGGATTTCTTGCAGTAGCCATCTAAAATCGCGCTACAAATGATGTCCCCCTGGTCGACTTTAGCAGCAAGCCCTGGGACGTCACCCTAGGGGGCTTATAACATGATTATAACATGTTTATAGGTGATCATACACATGATGCACAGTCGCATTTTGTAGATATGCAAGCAATTCATCTGATCAATCCGTTACTTCATGGTTTCGTTCCTACTATAAATGGTGGCTGCGTTTGAATACGAATGATTGCTGAATCAAAGGATGATTTTTTCAGGCATTCTGATGTTTTTGTTTTTTTTTTGCTCCCCCTCTTATAACATCAAGTTTAGTTTACCTTGTTAATACATGTTAATACACCAATCATCGACTTTTAAATGGGCTGTTGTACATGAGCCCAGAAAGCGGCCAGCAAGGCCGGTGAAGCCCTCGAGGATCACATTTGGACACAGTTGGATCAGAATTTGTAACAAAAAAGGATCATTTATATACATGTTAATATTAATGTTATTACATAGATATACAGATACATATATTTATATATATGTTCATATATATATATAACGTATTATATATATATATATCATACATACATACATACATACATACATACATAAATATATATATATATGTGTGTGTGTGTGCGTGAGTGTGCACTGCCAACCTATGGATCACAATTGCAGCGCCCTGGGATGAACCGACTTCAACCAGGTGCCCCTACAGCCATGACTATTACCACTATTAGATTTTGGACCCTCCTCTGTACTACCAGTTTTTTTTCCTGGGGGTTCAGTACGTTTTTAAAAAAACACTATTTTCCAAAAATCTAGCAGACAGTGGGTGAGGGTCCCGGGGCATGATATGGGGCCAGGAATAAAATATCATACCCAAAAAGGCCTATTTTTTTTTTCCTGAAAGCTTCCTGACGTACAGTGACAGGAAATCAATTTCTGCCTGTTGTGATTGAGGGGGGGTTGATCTATCAGTCTGTGTATGTAAGGCATCAGGAAATCAATCATGAATGACTCTGATAATGGGTAAGTTTGTAGAATTCCTAAGGTTAGTAGCCAGGAGTTTGAAGGTGGATGGATCAAATGGGAGTTTACTAGAACATATCTAAATGTCAAACCCCAGGAAAAAATATACCATGATTAATTGAGTGGGTATGATTTTTTAAATGACTTTGCAAAAGGCGTACAACCACATATGTTCACCTTCACCAACCAAAAAAAGTGACTTCAAGAGGCAAAGGCTGGCCCCACAAGAAAAAAATCGCATCACCAGGTCAACCACCCATAGATAGGAAATGCTGGGACAAATTGAAGAATTTTGTTCCAACGTGTGGCCAAATTGCAAAACAGGCGTTTTTTCCTGAAGATACATTTGTCCATGCAAAAGGGTTGCGCATTGCCGTGGGCATCTGCCGGACCGCACTCGTGAAGCCGTGGACTCTGAAAAACTGCGAGCTGTCAGCCGGGAAGTCAGGTGCCAGGAATTCATTTTTTTCCGTATCAGATTGAGGGGGGGAAGATATGGCATGTTACCAACGCAAGCATCCAGGAAATAATTTTTTTACTTGGATATCAGAGGGGTAAATTTATTGGATGTTGGACGTTGGGTACCAGGAAATTAGCAAAGAAAATTCAAAAAGGTGGTTGGAAGTGAGATTTCGGTTTCAGAGGTTAGGAGCCAGGAATTTAAAGCTCTAAAACCTCTCTCAAAGGTTAGGGGTCATAATTTTAGACCAATTGTTTTCTAGGACTGTACCCCACGTTGGAGTACAGACGGGGATATTTTGGGATATAACTCCCATAATTGAAGTGATTCCCCCCATTTCCAAGTGGTTTATATTTATATATATATATACATATTTATACATATATATATATATATAAATATTTTTATATATATAAATATTTATATATATATATATAAATATATTTATTTATTTATGTAGTTCCATCTAAGTATGTTTTTAACAAATACCATAGAAATCCACAGGCCCAACAGCTAACCTACTTATATCATGTTATAGCCCCACTGCAGCAAGATTCGCACGAATCATCTCCAGGCGAATGCCGCGAGAGCACTCGCAATGGATCGGCAGCGAGCCGATGAAAAACGGAAAGAAGCCAAGGACCAGCTCCGTGAATCTGGTGACCCTCTGGTAAACATACAAAAAACTATGGAAAATTGCGCATTTATATATATATATAGATGGTTTACCTAGTAAAAATGGTGATTTTCTATAGCTATGTTAAATTACCAAAGGGTACCCATGTTTAAGAGCTGGAGTTTTTGGAACATAGCGAATATGTTGCGAACTGGAAAATCACCATTAAAATAAGAGGTGAATATTCCAGCTACTGTATGTCTATGGGCGTGTTCACCAGCTTCAAAAAAAATAACCCTCTGGTAAACCAACAGGTTGCGAACTGGAAAATCACCATTCTTGAGTTCGTAAATAAACTATAGATAAATGGCCACGGCTTCAATAGCAATTACTCTTTAATTACCAGAGGGTAGGAGTGAGCGGTTCGGAGGCTCTGGGTATCCAGCATCCATAGTCCCAATCAAAACTGAGGAGTGGTTCGGAGCCGCTTGGAGTTTCCCAAGCGTATGATTGTCCCTTGGGCGGGTGGATTTGTTCTAGAAATTTGGGATGGTTTGGCCCTCCAGTAAACTAACCTAGACAAAATCCACAATTTTGCAGATGTCACAGGGAACTCCGTGGATTTCCATCGCTATGTTGAGATAGGCAGAGAACGCAATCATCAATCCAGTAACATTCTTAGACCTCGTTGGCGGCCCTGAAACTGAGATGATGATATGTAGTTTATGTTTTTCGTGGTTTTGAAGTTTGAAATAATAAAATAGATCAATAAACAAACCAAACAAGGAATGATAAGGATTTAGGATGGTTTGATGCAACAAAGATATGAGTTCACCGTGGTTCAACCAACAACAAATTGGGGTATCATCAAGGTCATCAAGAGAAAGTAAAATGTAAACTTGGACCCGCGACTTTACGCTTCGCATTGTTTTGCCATTGGTTCATGTATGTTTATTCACAAGGACACGAATCAATCCCCTACTTGTCGCTGTCAACGAGGAGTCTCTCTCAGACTACAACGCTCGCCTGCGCTTAGATGTGGAGAGGCAGGGGACTTGATAGGACTTGTGGTGACTGGGATGGATCAGTACACTGCAGTGAAACACAGGAAATAGATGGAAATAGTGGTTGCAGAGGATTAGAACAAGAAATCAGCATCAACATGCATCAACATATTTAAGTGTCGCAGGGATGGGGTTAGCGGTTACCTATGGTTACCTGTAACCTTTCGAAATATCTTTGGGCCTTTGGGACCCCATTTTCCATATGTTTAACCAGTGCTTCGGAATTCCCATGAATTCCCTGAGGCAACTGAAGCGGATTTTCTGCCCAATCCAAGAACCTCACCTGAACATCCCTTCCTACTGGCAGAACTTGAACGTCTCCTGGCAGCTCCAGGGTCCCCAGGGTGGGATTTCTGTTCAGCTTCAAGTGAAAACCACAGGGACTGGCTGTGGGTTAAAAGGACCAAACAGTTTCTATGAAAATTGTTTCCGAACTGGATGGCGCCGAACAACAGCTGAAACTTCTTTAGTGATCAAATTCTGATGCTGCAAGTGACTTTTCTATTGAGCATGTCTCATCGCAATTACCTGATCTATGAATTATCAGCTGGTCGGGTCGCGGGCATTGCATCGTGCTTACAGTCTGGGAATCCAGTGCCAACGAATATACTGTGAATGTAATCATATATGTACAATATGTATTACATTTTACGGGTTTGTATGATTTTTTATGCATGCATTGATTCGCGATTAGTTATTCACGGTTTATTTTTGAAGCTGTGACTCTGCGTGTGCTGTTCCCTTCATCACATCACAGCGCTCTCTTCAGGTGACAAATCAGCCAACGGCATTTTGTTCTACATATAAATGCGGCGAATATAATGTGGTATATTGCAGGCATATGTTTGCGTATACATGCATACATGCATACATGCATATATGATCCCCCAGCCAGTTTCCCCTATAGAATAGGTGCTGTATAAAACGATTTTTTTCTACATCAGAGCGCTCAAGCATGCGCAATGCGCATGCTGGAGAAGAGGAAAACATGGACCAAAACATGTAAAAAAACATGGGAATTGAATGGCTTTGATGGGGTTTGATGGCTTCTTACATCGTGCTTCTACATGCTTCAAGAAAAAAACAAAAATATGGCAAAAAAATGTCAGGTTTTGGGTGGACCTTGAGGGCTGCAATTTTATAGTCCCTAAAAACTGCCTTCGATCAGGGGCTCCAATTCTATAGGGGGGGTGCTCTCCAAAAGGATTCCACGAGGCAAAGGCATGCAAAGGCACTGTAGAAGCAGCCTCAGCAGCTTCAGCTGCAGAAACAGCAGCCCCTAATTTTATAGTGGGGATATGTGATGATATGATATGAAATGATATGTGATGATATGTGGGGATTTGATGGGATTTGATGGGGTTTGATGGCTTCTTACATCGTGCTTCTACATGCTGCAAGAAAAACCAAAAAATGCCAAAAAAATGTCAGGTTTTGGGTGGACCTTGAGGGTTGCAATTTTATAGTCCCTAAAAACTGCCTTCGATCAGGGGCTCCAATTCTATAGGGGGGGTGCTCTCCAAAAGGATCCCGCAAGGCAAAGGCATGCAAAGGCACTGTAGAAGCAGCCTCAGCAGCTTCAGCTGCAGAAACAGCAGTCCCTAATTTTATAGTGGGGATATATGTGATGATATGATATGAAATGATATGTGGGGATATGTGGTGATTTGATGGGATTTGATGGCTTCTTACATCGTGCTTCTACATGCTTTAAGAAAAACCAAAAGATGCCAAAAAAATGTCAGGTTTTGGGTGGACCTTGAGGGCTGCAATTTTATAGTCCCAAAAACTGCCTTCGATCAGGGGCTCCAATTCTATACGGGGGGTGCTCTCCAAAAGGATTCCACGAGGCAAAGGCATGCAAAGGCACTGTAGAAGCAGCCTCAGCAGCTTCAGCTGCAGAAACAGCAGTCCCTAATTTTATAGTGGGGATATATGTGATGATATGATATGAAATGATATGTGATGATATGTGGTGATTTGATGGGATTTGATGGGATTTGATGGGATTTGATGGGATTTGATGGCTTCTTACATCGTGCATCTACATGCTTTAAGAAAAACCCAAAAATATGTCAAACAAATGTCAGGTTTTGGGTGGACCTTGAGGGCTGCAATTTTATAGTCCCTAAAAACTGCCTTCGATCAGGGGCTCCAATTCTATAGGGCGGGGGTGCTCTCCAAAAGGATCCCGCAAGGCAAAGGCATGCAAAGGCACTGTAGAAGCAGCCTCAGCAGCTTCAGCTGCAGAAACAGCAGTCCCTAATTTTATAGTGGGGATATATGTGATGGTATGATATAAAATGATATGTGATGATATGTGGGGATTTGATGGGATTTGATGGGATTTGATGGCTTCTTACATCGTGCTTCTACATGCTTTAAGAAAAACCAAAACATGCCAAACAAATGTCAGGTTTTGGGTGGACCTTGAGGGCTGCAATTTTATAGTCCCTAAAAACTGCCTTCGATCAGGGGCTCCAATTCTATAGGGGGGGTGCTCTCCAAAAGGATTCCACAAGGCAAAGGCATGCAAAGGCACTGTAGAAGCAGCCTCAGCAGCTTCAGCTGCAGAAACAGCAGTCCCTTATTTTTATAGTGGGGATATATGTGACAATATGATATGAAATGATATGTGATGATATGTGGGGATTTGATGGGATTTGATGGGATTTGATGGCTTCTTACGTCGTGCTTCTACATGCTTTAAGAAAAACCAAAAAATGCCAAACAAATGTCAGGTTTTGGGTGGACCTTGAGGGCTGCAATTTTATAGTCCCTAAAAACTGCCTTCGATCAGGGGCTCCAATTCTATAGGGGGGTCCTCTCCAAAAGGATTCCACGAGGCAAAGGCATGCAAAGGCACTGTAGAAGCAGCCTCAGCAGCCTCAGCAGCTTGAGCTGCAGAAACAGCAGCCTATGTCTTTCAATGATTACAATAGTTGGTTTGAAATGGTTTGACTTTTGTGCCTTCGATTGATGACCCCAAAACTTCAGTCTACAGAATTGGGGCATTATTAAACTGAGATAAAATTGGGGACCACATAATCGAAGGAAAATAGAGGGCCCCCAAAATTCGACTTGGGACACCAAATTTTAATAAAAAAACCATCTATGATCAAGCCATTTTGGATGGCCCTAATTTTATAGAGGCCAATTTGGAGCTAATACCCTGCACAAGTTTAACCTGGGCACTGCAATTTTGTAGTGTTTTTGCGTTTGATGACATTGATGGGTTACTGGCAGGTTGTGATTTTATAGGGCTGATTATGTATGTGTCTGTCAAGATTTTAATTTTGTAGAGGGTCCCAAAAGGGCATTTTCAAAGGATAGGCCTGGGCCCCCTATAAAATTGGAACGCCCTGGTAAAACCCGTGCATTGGCAAGTGGATCATATATGTATACATGCAAACATGCATACATGCATGCATACATACATACATGCATGCATGCATACATGCATGCATACATACATGCATGTATACATGCAAACATGCATACATGCATATATGCATGCGTACATGCATACATGCATACATGCATACATGCATACATGCATATATGCATATGCATATATGTATTCATGCATGCATACATGCATACATGCATATTTGCATATGCATATATGTATTCATGCATGCATACATGCATACCTGCATACCTGCATATTTGCACATGCATACATGCAAACATGCAAACATGCATACATGCATACATGCATACATACATGCATGCATACATGCATACCTACATATGTATATATTAGTTTATATATATATATATATGATTTTCTCTGTGTATTCAGCAATATCAGGTAATATTCTGCATGCAACTGGCGTATACCATGGTTATTGCCGGCGTAGCAACTGAGGTTCATTATCCGGATTTTTGCTTCTTGTGGTGGTTCAACTTTATTTCATATCGCATTCTGCTTTGTTCATATTTTTGTATCCTCATGTTTTGGTGAGTAAGAATCCTCATATTGGTTGGTAGCCTCATTATTCATTTATCGGGCATGTGCCCGTGTGTTTTCTGGTTCTTTTCCAATGTTTGTGACGGCACACCCTTTAACTCCAACATTGCATGGAGTTGCACGCAGGCCCATCGGAAAACCATCTGCAGACCCAATATATAAATCATTTTTGTGGTGTCATTGTCGCATATTTTCCGGGGCTTCTTATGATATCTCATGATATCTTATGATCTGAGTCAAGTTGTGGGTTACTCCAAGTTACTCCCATGATTTTGCCGCATCGTTTCCACGTTGGCGGCCCGAGGTGGATTATAGCGGCAAATTGGCTGTGCGGAGCTCTGTGAAGCTTGGCGAATGACACAGGGAGCTCCATAGACAGTGTCAAGGTTGATGCTATGGGGCGAGTCCCAGGGCATGGGGGGAACCAAGTTCATTTTCTGGATCAAATAAGCGTGGTTTTTGATGGGTTTTGAGGTTGGCAGCTGCCGAATTATATATATGGGACTTGGTCCCCTGCGCCCCTGCGCTGGAGGTTCAAAAAATCAAGAAAATTCAAGAAATAGAATATAAGTATAAGTTCTTGATTTGGTTAGTTTTTCGATAAACATGCCTGCTTCGGGCCCCCTGAATTTATAAGCGAAAAACATCAATATAAAGACCAGAAAAAACACCATGATCCCATGATTTTGTCCAGCTTGGGTGCTTCATTTTATAAGGAATTAGTCGTGGAAAGGGACATTTCTGGGAATGGGGCAAATCTAAACAAAGATGGTGGTATAATTGGATAGGTTGGGGATATACACTAACTAATTAATAGAAATCAATTAGATGATGACTTCACTGCGACGTCACGAGCAAAGAGTGGTTTGTGATGGTTTGTGTGTGTGTGCGTGTGTGTGGGGCATTGCCACCAAATTTAGGTTGGTGCACTAATGCGCTTATATATTATGATTCATCCAGAGTAGTCATTGGAGGTATAATGGGGCTGCAATGGGGTTTTACAGTAACCAATGCAACCACTACTGTAATCTTTCTGAATTGCAACGATGTCACTGGCTCACGTCACCGTAGGTGATAAGCATCAGGCAAATCATCTCCAAATGATTAGCCAGATAAGCTGCATGGGTAGACGACCTTGCTTAAGTAGGTTAGCCAGTGGCTTCACCTTTTTGCAGTGGAAGATAATACATACTAATCAGCGAAAATTCAAGTCTTTTCGCAGAGTGTGTAAGATTGGCCAAGATGGATTCCAGAATATTCCGGATAATGTTGTATATGGTTGTGGCCCAAGCAAGAGGTACCAATGGGCCCACCAAAATTACTCAGTTGGCCTTGCATTTCATTGTCCAATGCAGTGTGCCAATCATTAGCCATAGCCATATGCTTGCTTTGCAACAAGCGTGGAAGGGGAACATATGGGAACATATGTCATTCTCGGCTGGAATTAATCTTCCCGTGGACCACTTTCTAATTTTGAGCGGTGTTTTTCTCGGTCTTTCAACCAAATTGAAAAACATGTTGTTTATTGATGTTTATTGTTTATTGTAATGTAAGCCCCAAAATCTTGATACACATGCCACACTGGGCAATTCCATGGGACACCAGCCTCAGCACAACATCCATGGTGACTTGGCATCAGTGGTTAGGGACTAATCCACTGAATGGGAACATATTAGCCAGGCTTAGCCCAAAAAAAAACATAGATAACTATCACCCACATGAGTACTGTAGATAGAATACAGAATTTTCCGACTAAAATCGGAATATCTTTGAAAATCCGAGATTCTACTGATTTCAGGATGGTTCTTTCGTACCATGCCCGTTCTTTCTGAATCATCCAGCGTGGCTGGCAGGAAAATCCCCTTTCTGGGCTATTTTTGTTCATGGGAAAATCATGGGAAACCAGAACTTTTAAAATAGTCTAATAATTCTATATCAACTGTAAATCCCAGAAAATCCTCAATGACTCATTTTACCCCTTTGTTAATGGTGAATTATCGCTACTTTTTGATGGATAAATGAGTCATTGGACTTTCAGGGAATATTATGAGTGGTGGATTTTCCATGATTTTCCAGCCTTCGAAATCTTCGAATTGATTACCAAGTAATTCGATGATATCCGATGATTGTCCCAGCTACAAAGCTGTGGGTGAGCAGCCTCCCTTGCCATACTTGAGGAAGCAGAAAGGCCTGAAGCCTGAGTGCCTTTGGCTGCACCTTTCGGGTAGCATGGGCAGGAAATTCCGGCGGAATGTTCATTTCTAAGTTGTCCAGGACATGTTTGTTTGAACATTGCCTCATTGACTCATTGTATCTCATTGTAGTTCATTTTAAGGCACGCCAAATTGTTTCTGCTGTTTTTATTTTTTCTAACTTAGCAGCACATCGCGATTCAAAGGATCTTTCAGGACCTTCTCTGATGGCGAACAGCCCACCGTGCGCAGATGGCAGTGAAAAACCCACAGCTATGACAAAGTTAGGTATAGGATGGTATAGGCACAAGCTTTGAACATCTTTGAGCTACTTTTAGGTGTGTCTAAAGCCTATGTTCGGATTGTTCAGACCAAGCCGTTTCACTTCCCCAGAGCCGTTGCCGCGGTTTCCAACCAATAGCCATGAACAGCCGAAGGCCTTGGGATCCTTGGGTTGATGGCCTCACCACTCAGCCAGACGTATAAAACCCTCATGGTTGTTGCAGGATGGTGCCCCCCAGTTATAAGTTGGTTTATAAATCCCATTAACTATAGTTATATTTGCCATAAACCATAGTTATGGGAGTTATAAACCAACTTAGCTAACTATGGGGCACCACCTTGTGATCAGCCACATATTTCACACGCGACCGAAACCTCAAAACACGGACACAGCGAGGCCGGTGGTTTTCGTCGAGATCGAACCGGGGCAACAGTTCCTTGTCATCTCGGATTGGTTCGACGTTTAGTTGGATGGTACATGATGGTACCATTTTAGTAGAATTTGGTGGTGTGTTGATATACCTAGATGATGTTAGATGGTAGAGACGGATAATGATATATTTGAAGGATACTTAAAAAGATAAATGGGTAGGTAGACAGTGATTTGACATATAGATGGGTGAACACATAATATGCCTGCATGAAACTGCTGTGGTCCGACCTTGAATGTCTTTGAATAGAATATAATATATATATATACATACATACATACATACATACATGATATATAGATATAGGGTTCTTAAACGTTCTTAATATAGATACACACCTCGAAGTCCATGTGGTTTCCGGATGTTTGTTTGGATCTCACCGGAGCTGCTGCTGGATACGATACGCTCCGCACCATATTAGAGTGGGCGATGCGAATATTATATACAGTAAGAAGAACCGTCAGCAAATGTGGGAGAATCACCAGAACATCTTGTAATCAAAAAACTGATGTTTCAATGTCCCAGACGTGTCCAATCTGCAAAACTTAATAATTATCAAGTTATATGCATCCCTTTGCTTCCAAACATCATTTCTTTGGGCATTTTTGGCCTTTATGACCCCTCACAACCACCATCCGAGGGTAGAGCTGCTGAATATGTGTCAGCACTTCAGCTCTTTGACCCGGCCATTTCAACCTGGAGGCAGGCGTATGCCGACAGCCATCCAACAGCTGTGTTTTGACGGTCATCCATGTCTGTATTTTTATATAATTATGATAAACTATATGTACATACATATATATATATATCATATATACATACTGTATATATATACATATATATATACATATGTATTTACATATGTATATACATATATACATATGTATATATATATATATATATATGTGTGTGTGTATGAATGATTCAAAATGAGGTATTTAACAAGATGCAATTTATCAGTACATCCACACAATCAGCGATCTATTTGCGTTGTCAAAGATATGCCCCTTGCGCCAAGATGGAACCAATTGCGCAGTTTGCATGGGATTCTATGACTGCCGAAACGCTGGCCGCCAGGTGAATCGGATGCAGCAATCATGACGCGGCCCGCGTTTTGTAGTGCCTTGGAGATTGTGAGTTGGAATTCCATCCCGGGAAATATCATAGTCCCACTCCCCAGAAAAGCCCTGAAACCATGCGGTAGTATAGGGGATAAACAAAAAAGCAATAAAACACATATGACTCGCATGCGTGGCGTGGGACTGTAACTTCAACGAATGGGATAGACTAACCCACCACTCGCTCATCCCCCTGGTTGGATCGTTGGCGCACCATGTCACCATGGCCTTTTGAGGAGCCATAAAGGCCATGAAACATCCATAAACTCAGAAATGATTAGATATTGCTAGGGTATATGCATGGTCAACTTTGGGGAAGTGTAGGATGCAGTGGTATATCTTTTGCTGCTTGCCATTGGTGTATGTGTAAGTGTGTAAGCGTTTTTCTGCCGAAATCACCTGGTTGAAGATGATCGAAGAACAATGTGGACCTGACCGTCATCCCTGTTACCATGTCCTATATACACGTCTGAACAAAACCATGTGAAGCGAGAAAGGTGTAGTAGCGTAGAAGAAACAAACAAACACAATATATCAAAATACAGCAAATTAGATCAAACAATGAATCAGGCTACAAGTACAGGTAAAACATGGAAGAAGGGCTTCAAACGACGTCAAAATGGAGCCCCTATTTCGCACCACTCTCTCATTGCTTGGGTGATTTGAAGCTACGCGCGTGAGCTTTCAAATTAAATGGCATGCCAAAAGATTATTGAAGAGGCAGATTTCATCGGAAGAACATGGAGGGTTTACCATCTCATATCCTCCGTATATTTTACTGTGTAAAATGCAGTATTCAGTATTTGCCAAGTGTTGCAGCACCAATGATCCAGTCATGTACAGTAGACAGATATATGGATGGATCCAGAAAGATACATTGATAGACGGGCAGACAGATAGGTAAATCTATAAATAGTTCGCTCGATCGAGAAATATGCAGAATAGAAATGCATACATACAGTCATACAATCATACAATTACATGCATATTTTAATGGGATTTCATGGGATTTAATGGTGATTTAATGGGATTTAATGGTGATTTAATGGGATTTACCACCAAAAAGATAGACAACTACTCTATCATGAGCTTCTTGGGATTTGACTTGTCTATCTTTTGTTTGTCACTCCCGACTGGACCACTTTCACCAGGGCTTCTGTTGGAGCTCACGATTGCCGAAACTCGTCTGAAGGGTGAAGGTCTGGCAAAATGGCAGATCGCTTAATATTCTGGGGTAATGCCATATCATGCCATATCAATATATTACATGTATATATATTTATAGCATTTATACATACATATATGTGTATGCACACAATTATGCATACATATATGATATACATATATTGATGCACATGTGTCGTAATATATTGTAATCAATGCATTGTACGTAGTATAGTGTGTATGTGTATACAACACTCATGTGGATGAATTATAACGACCTCAATGTGACATGACTGGAATGCTGGTCAGTAAGTGGAATCATCCCCAAATGGCCGGGAGGGTGCTTCCAGGTCAAGGGAACAGCAACAGGCTATTTTCAGATTCATTAGTGAACTATCTCAATTTAGCCGAAATTTGGCCAGATATAGTATTCATGAATTTACTGTCTGAATACTTCAAATAGTGTCTATAGAGTGCATCTATTTCATATAGTGTTTGTTTCGTACGTATCTATTTCATATGCTCGCGCAGTAAAACAATCGCGAGCATTTTTGCCACATGTGCCTTGAGCCAAGGATTCGGCAGGCTCAGTCATGTACCACTCTGCCATCGATATTTTTGACGCCATGGCAGTGGGAGAGCCCAGCATAGCCTAGCCACATCCAGCCACCGGGATGGATGATCCGCAAAAAGCCGTGATGGATACCATTGATTTCGATGGTCAATTGATATGTCAAAAGCATAGTTTTCTCATCTTTCCTCTAAATTGATGTATATTATTGTATATTGATATTCCCTTAAAGTCATCCAATGGTGCAAGTTTGGCCCGTTACTTGGGGTGCTGTCGGGGCTATTTATCGGTACCCTCTGGCCCTGTGTATAGCTATCTAAGTTGGGAAATCATCGAAATATGGACGATGTTCCTTTTCAAGCTCTTAAACTACCAAGGGATATAGATATAGTTGGCTAGTTATATTCCCTACCATATCCCCTATTCATATCCCATTCACCGGCCATTCATGAATAAACCATGGATACCCCTTCAGTAAAACTAACAAAGTTCTGGATATCGGAGGGTGTATCGCATGTATCGCTTTGAGTGGATTATAAATCGGCCCAAGTACAGATGATTTAACCCATTTTTCCCAACCTTTCACGGTGGACCTGGTGGACTTAGACGGTGCAGAGCTTCAAGGGATTGCCATTGACCAGTGCGCGGCTGGGCAGCAGGTGAGTTTCCGTCGAACATCGTTTCATTTGGCAGGTGAAGCTGGCACAAAAATGGGAATTTACATCATATGATTTGATATTACTTCAAGTTGCTTAATAATATGATTGACTCGTGAACACTGATGCAAAATGAGTGGTAATCCGAGGCATATCGTTATTTGCAGTGTGTGGTGATGAAGCATCACTCCCTCACAGTTCCCCGCTCTCCACATGTACCGAGTTGATTTTGTTCGGCAAGGTTAAACCATCCTAAACCCGCCAGCCGGAGTTGTCCAGGAATAACGTTTAAAAAACACCTACAGTATATATATATATATTATATGAATATACCGACCCCAAAACCCAATGGTTTAGAAGTTTAGAATGCCTCAAAGGCTTATCCCCATTGAAGTCTCTAGCTAAGTCTACCTCCATTGCTGGGCCACCGCTCGTCGCATTCCGAGGACGGTGCAAGGCATCTTGTTGGACGATCACAGTGATCGAGTGATTCAGCTCTTTGCTGGCGTGCTGGCACAGGCAGGGCGGCAGGCCCAAACATCAGAAGATGCATTTTTTACTAAGGAAACAACAAGAACCACTAGTAGAAAACTATCATGTTTTTTGTATGGAACGTATGGGAAAAGTTATTGTTTCATGATCTGTACATGGATGTACTTCCGGAAATTCTAAGAGCAAACTGGTCTGTAAATTGATAGAGCATGATAGAACATGGAGATGCTGAGGGCGGATATATGCAATAATATATATATATATATACAGTATATATATATATATATCTGGCTGGTGGTTTGGAATATATATATATATACATTTAAGATAGATGCGGTCAGTCAGTCAGTTTAGTTTACCCGAGGCTATAGGAGTCCATGTGCAACCGAGCAGCAATTTGTGCTGATTGACGCTTCCATCTGAGTATGTACTGACCAAAAATAAAGAGATTCAATTCAATGGAAAAACCAGTGCATAACCGCATAACCCAAGAATAATGCTTGGTTCACTGTTTGTAGGAAGTGATCTAGGCAATAGTAACTTAGTTAAGTATAGTAAAGTAGTAACTTGCAATAAGTAGTTAGTTAGGTAGTCTTACACACCGTGAAATGGACCTTGCCCACCTTCCAATGCTGGTTGGAGACTTGGAAAAGGGAATGATCCCGTAATATCCCATGTGGCTACCATGATCCAGGCCAGTCGCGAGAGCAAAAACGGCGCCACACCGGAGGAGTTTAAGGTGGCAAACCTCGCTTGACATTCCCTGGGGATCGTTGCCGTTTTACAGAGTACCAGAGGATAACAGTGGCATTTTTGGGAATTATGCTTTTTCCGTTCTGTTTGTTTTTTGGATGTCTGTTTCCCTGCTTCTTTGCTTTTCTGCTTCTATGATGTTTGCTTTTCTGCTTTTCCCTGCTTCTCTGCTTTTGTAGTTCTTTGCTTCTCTGCTTCTCCATTTTTTGTTTCTCTGATCACCAAAAAAGAACAAAACGGAAAACAAAAACAAAACAATTCTGGACCCCAATGTAAACCTCGGTAGTTTTGGTGAATGAAAGGGAACACCAAAACAACCAAACAAGAGATACTGGATAAACGGGATAGTAGATGTATTCAGTAAAGATACTATAGTACTATTGGTCCATTGATATGTGGGTTTGCCCAAAAACAGGGCACCTATCAGTGTTCATCATCACTTTCCCAATGATTTGTTGGCAGTTGTGGGGTGTAGCCTATTCCTGGAGGTACTGGATCATATCCAAATGATGGCGACCTCACATACATAAATTGTACTTTCCAATGGTTTCTATTATGAGACTCATCCTCAAAGTTGCTCTGACCATCTATTAGTGGTGTGTGAATTGCAACATTGTTGGGTGATTCGGATTCCCGGGGGCTTCCTGGAGGTTCCCGGTCTCAATGTGTCGCCCTCACTGCAAACCCTGCAGCTTTCCCTGTAGATGCTCCCTTAAGATCCGTAAGTTGGCCGAGCCATGATATTGTGCCAGCAGATGTTTGATAGACGGATAGATAGATGATGATACATATAAATAACCAAGTATATATATATATATATACATACATACATATTTATAGTATATGTATATGTATAATTATAAAATATAGATAATATACTTAAATCGACCAAATATAGAACATATGTAATACATACATGTTTTTTAATGATATTTCACACCTAAACGATTACATATATATATATATATAGAGAGAGAGAGAGAAGCATCAACAAAGACTCCGCATCGTAACCGTTACTAACCGTTACGGTTTTTCCGCCTCTGTTCAGCTCCATCTTCTGGACTGTTTGCTCCCGCACGCGGAGCGCAAGCTGCGGCGGAGGCACTGCAGTGGGGATGTTTCAAGAAATATTGGTTAAACTATTCTTTGGGGGACATTGGCAAAATAGGATCTGCCAACTCATCAACACTGCCATTTGATGCTAATTATTTCAATGGAGACATTGATGTTGAAGACAGGTTTTTCAAGTTTTGGGGCTACCTTATCAACCCAACCCATCAAGAAAAGAGGGATCCTGCATAAATCCCTGGTGGCGTGTGCGATCAGGTGGATGAGGGTTTTTATGATTTGTCACATGCCTTCATTTTGGACGCATCTACCATCATCTACCTATTTCCAGGATGCATACTGGCGTATATTTTATCTAGGAATTTAACTATCTATGTCTATGTGTATATATATATATACACACATATGTCTATATGTGTATATATATATATATTGTAACGATATGTAATGATGTTCATCCTGATGCTCTGTAGGAATGCCTAATGCCCCCCATTCTTGGGAGGTACATCTACTCATCTCCCATGGTTTCATGCGATTTGTTTCCCTTAAATCAATCGAGCTGAAGCATAAAATTTGTTCAGTCAACCCTCAGCGTCAGGCAGAAACACATTGACACAGGCTTGGCCTATGGCAAGGACGAGATTGCAACTGTGTTGGTTGTTGGTACATTAAAACCAGCAAATCAGGGGGTTGAACCAACAAACATGAACATGTTACAGTAACCCTTAAAAGGCCAAAGGCCTTTATACGGTATGGTATTGACATGTATTGACCATGCTGCTAGCTCCGAAATTGTGGTTATTAACAACCCTAGCAGCAGGAAAGTCGCGGTGTCGCGGATCCGTCGGCAGATGTGGCAGGACATCTATCGTTTGCCCGTCCTGACCGAAAATGCCGACGAAGAAGAGGCTGAAGATGAGGCCTGGCCGGAGCCTTCCGATGTTTGAGTTGTCCGGCAAGATTAGTATAGTTTTTACATGCGTTATATGATGCTAGATGCATGTTTACGGGAATACGTACTTACATACAGACATAGAGACATACAAAGCTACATAGCTGCCACATAGCTACATAGCTAACTACCTGCGTACCTGCCTGCCTATCTACCTAATTACTGTACCTACATACTCACATACTCACATACATACTGACTGATTTACTTCCGTGCTTCCTTTCTATCCTTGCTTCCTTGATTCCTTGCTGCTTTGCTTCCTTGCCTAATTACTTGCTTACTTGCTTACTTACTTACAGACATACATATTCACACATACATAGATACACGCATTCAGATACACGCATACACATATACATGTAACAGATTCATAGACAAGCACAGTAGGATATTCCTGACAGTATCATCTGCAGAAATGACCATGCTCATTTTGGCACTCATGGCTGCAATCGAAACCAGATGTTGTGTGTGGTTTGAAACCACCACACCATGATATATTACCCTCCAGGAGTCAAACATGGCAATGGCAAATCCCCTTATGAATGGAGGTTTTAATGGACATAATTTTTCCCACCTGCCAGGTGAAGGTCTCTAGATTTTAGCAAAGGAGCAACTCCTTCCTTCCTTCCTTCCTTCCTTCCTTCCTTCCTTCCTTCCTTCCTTCACTCGGCGCCTGGGCCCGAACACCATATCGCGAGCTCCGGATGCTGTGGGCCACGCCTGGACCCGCACGCCATGTCGCCAGCTCCGGATGCTCGCCTGGGCCCGAACACATGCCAGAGAGAATATGCCAAGCAGAATGTCAGAATTTGTGTTAGATAGAATGCCAGAATGAATGCCTGAAAAGGTGCCAGGTAGAATGCTAGAATAGATGCCAACAAAAAATGTCAGAATAGATGCCAGATAGAATGTCAGAATATATGCTAGAAAATACGTCAAAATAGATGCCAGGTAAAATGTTAGAATGTATGCCATAATTACATACTTCCAGATGATATGTCAGAAACCATTTTGAATAGTGTGGATCACTCATTTTGTCAGAGTTTCTTTAGTTTTCATGTTTGATTGCCGCAGAGTATATTGTGATATCAGTCTATTCTTGTCAAGCCACTGGCACTGTAAGAAACCCAGCGAGCCAAACATGCCTCAAAGGAGTCACAGAAGGCACCCCCATACAGAAGGCGATTTGGCTCCAAGGGTATGTTTGATGTGTATGGGAAGTACCCAAGTTGGTGAACCATTTGACCATTCACTCGCTTTAGGAACCCTCCCTCTCAGTACATTCCTTGGTTGTACACCACGCTTTGCCTCATGCTGAAGCTAGTACGTTTCACGACCCTGTGAGTCATTTACGAACTGAAATCATTAGGTATCATGGTTCGAACATTTACCAACAGTCATTTTTTGAGCCTCTCTTCTCAAAACGGGGTACTCCCAAATTTCATATATATAGTTGGTGATCATTTTACCCACTAAATTGACAACTTTCTGGCATCCTCCATTGTTTGTGAAACCCATAAATTCGATTATTTAATCTTGTTTATGTGCCGAAAAGTCCCAAGGCCGCTGGTTTCTGTAATACTCATTGATTGCGGACAAACCCGTGCGAACATATACTGTTCGATATCACAATTGTCATGTACATGTCATCACATTCCCGGCACATTTCCCATGTCCACATGATTTCACATCCATCCTGTGTGACCAAGCACTTGATGGTTATATAACAATTCAATATGGAACCGTTCATATCCCCGAAAATATCCATGGCAACTAGAACCACCATTGAAAAGTGATGTTGTCACACCCTTTTTTGGGACCGATCCCGAGCAGTTTTCAACTCCTGCGCGGTCTGTTTGTTTTCTGATAGTAGGGGTCATGGATTTGTTGAAGGTAACATGTTCACCGGATTTCTGATTATTTCACTCGATTTGTTGAAGGGAAAATGTTCACCGGAAACCATGGTTTGCCCCATCACAAATACGCCTTTCCGGTTTCAATTTGCAGAAATCCATTGATTGGCCAAAGATATTGTAATTGTTGGCAAAACCTTGGAATCATCTCAACATATTCATGGTAAAACCTTGGAATCATGACATCATGACATCATGACACATCATGACACATCATGACCTTGGAATCCCCTTCAGGACGTGGTGGCCGAGAGTCCCAAGGCCGACGATGGTCGGGGCGCCTTGCCCTTGGGCCGTCCCAAGGGCAGAGTAGCTGGGCGAGGAGTCGGCGAGGAGTTGACTCCAAGGAGTTGGTGAAGTGTTGGGTTATTGGAGGATATAACATGATATACCCTCCGGTAATTTGTTACATAGCTATTGAAAATGGCCATTTATAGTTCATTTACCTACAAAAAATAGTGATTTTCCATAGCTATGTTAGTTTACCAGAGGGTAACTACAGTGAATGTTTATAGATGTTTATAGGTTTTTCCAGTGATTGGAGGATAGTTACTATACATAGCGAATGTTTTTTGTTGGATGATAACTGTTATGTTTCTACGGTGAATGTTTTTGATGATATTTTTTACTACAGTGCATCTATAGTGAATGTGGTGATAAACCAAAGTAATTGTAACTAGGGGGGCCCACCCTGGAGCAATAAATCTGGTGTTTAATGGGGGTGTAATGGGATGATGGTCCCTAATGCTGAGCGTTTTGGTCAGAAAACCACCAACCAGGTTGGTCCTGTTTCACCATAAACCACCCAAAAAAAAAAGACAAAGCTTGGATTCCAGGCTGGAGGTGTAAGAAGCAACTGCAAACATGTAATCCTAAAAGGCAACGCAGTTTGGTTTGTAATTAGACGGGGGTATTCTGCAAAAGGTTACGCTGGGCGTGTTTTGGGAGATGTAAGAAAGCAGTCGATTTGCATGATGAAATCCCGTGTGTCAAGTCGCACTTGTTATCAAACTCTCCACTTGTCATCGTCAAATTCTGACAAATTTTCATTTTCCAGGACCCCTGGAAAATTTTGCTCAACTCCAAACATCTCCAAACTGCCCAGGAAAATCTCTTGGGCCTTCCGGGTGCTCTTGCCTCCACCTTATCGATCCCTGGTTCCGCTGCCGCTTCTCGCATGGGCTCGCGGATGAGTTCGCGGGGGAGCACCCGAAGTCGTGCCTCCTTCGCGCCTAGCGGTAAGGAGGAGGCAGGGCTGGGGATGTCACCATTCTCTTTCTCGCAAGTCAATCAAATACTCTGCACCCATCATGGTGTGCGCACCACTTTGCGGGTATTTGCACAATTTTACACAAAGGTTTTGCGGGTATTAATCGTTTGTATCGCTGTTTTGGGGACCCCTCAGTGCCCCACAATGAGTGTAAATCACCAGAGAGTGGAGTTATATATCCGGATGACAGGCGGAGCAACCTTGATTAATTTCAGGCTTGTGCCTGGATTGGCTTCAGCTGTTTCCTTTACATCAGTGTATTTTGCATATGTATGTATGTAATGTAATGCAATGTAATGTAATGTAGTGTACTGTAATATAATGTATGTATGTATATACACACACATACATACATATATATATATATATATTCTAATTCTACCTTCCCCATTCCCAATAGCCGTCCCTACTTTTGCCCATTTTAGATGTAAAATCTTCAGAAAATGATGCGGGGGACCACCAACGCCTGAGAATAGCAAAGTGGACATCACTCAAGGAAATGCATGTTTTCTTCCCGTTGCAGATGATAGGTTAAATAGCAACGACAAGGAATCGAAAGAGGGAAAAAACTTCCACTAACATTGAATGGGCAAAATTCTCCAAGTTCCCTTTACATCTTTACAGAAACAAAACAACGCCTCTATTCCGAAAATGCGTAAGTTCCAGGCAGGCATTTTTCATTGCAAAAGTTCTTGAACCTATCGTGGCCTGTAGACAGGTCTGAAAACCGTTTCAAAACGTTTCAGCAAATTCAGAAGGATTCCACTTTCTAATGTGGTGAGACTGATGCCTGCGGTGAGAAAGATTCTTGGCATGAGAACGATTTCTGAGACCAGTGCGTTAGTTTTTGGACATCTTCCCGTCATTCTCAGCATGCGTGTCTATCTGCACATCCAGCCTACCTTTCCCTACCCTGTGTGGAACCCTACCGGCCCACTACGTCCAGGTTCTGTGTCGCGCGGTTTTTTTTTCTCAAAAATTTGAAGGGTAGGGTTTCAGAGAGACCGTTGCGAAACACTGAAAGGTATGCTTTAAGTCGCTACCTTCCCCATTCGCATTTTTTTCCCAACCCTTCAGATTTTCGCGAAAAAAAAGTTCGCAGCAGTTGTTTCAGATTGTTTCACACACACCGACTGACATGCTGAGCACGATTCCAACAGCCAATGTGGTGAGAACGATCCCATACACCAATGCGCTTGAGAACGATGAATGTCACGCGAACGATTCTTAACCCCAATGCGATGAGAACGATTCCAGAAACCAATGCGATGAGAACGATTCCAGAACCTCATGAGGTGAGAAACATGGCTGCTGTGAGAACGATTCCTTCGTCCAACGATACTGAGACAGATTTCGAAACGGGCAACGAAGGCACAACCCGAGGAATTTCCATGGCCAGCAAGGCCCAAACTACAGGCAATGATAGGTTAAAGAGCCCTTTTTATAGGTTTCAAATTGAATGAATTGAGTCCATCGAAAGTTTACTAAAATTTACTTACACCATACACCCCACTTGTGCAACAAAATGCCTGCGGAGCATCACAACTCATACACCTGGATCAGCAAGGGCGTGCCAGTCAAACCATCTTTTTTTTTGTTTTGCATCGATTTCAGGACCTAGAGTAGGATCATTTTGAAGCATGCGAATGTCAGAAAAGAATGGGAGAGCCAATGTTAGATATATACCAGATAGAGTTCGGCCCGTGCCGGGGCGGAAGTTTCGATCGATAAACAACTATAGGAGGAAGATGGCCTATAGGAAAGTTTTTGAAATGCAGAAGCAATGAACTGTTGAAGTTGTGAAGTGCCTTAACGAATCAAGAAACAGTGGTTGAGATTCCAGTGAATTGTAATTAATTAGTAATGAAGGACCCATGCACCACTGACCGAATGAACCAATGATCAATCAATGAATGAATGAATGAATCAATCAATCAATCAACCAATCAATCAATCAATCAGTCAATGAATCAAAGAATTAATGAACCAATGAACCAGTGAGTCATTGAATCAATGAATGGATGGAATGGAATGCAGGGGAATGGAATGGAATGGAATGGAACGAAACGAAACGAAATGAATGAATTATTGAGTCGATGAATCAATGAATCAGTGAATCAATGAATCGATGATGCACTGAATCAATGAAACAGTGAACCAGTGAGTCAATGAATGAATGAGTCGCTGTAGTGAGTCAATGAATCAATGAATCACTGAACCGATGAATCAATGAAGTAATGAACCAATGAAACATTGAACCGATGAACCAATGAATTCATGAACGAGCGAATCAACAAATCAACAAACGAATGAATCAATGACACAACGAACCACAATGAATCAGTGAAAGAGTGGGCAAATGAATAATGAATGAACCAATGAACCAATGAAACCATGAATCAGTAACGAATCAGGGAACCAATGAACCAATGAACCAATGAACCAATGAACGAACGAATGAACGAATGAACGAATGAATGAACTGATGGGTGGATGGGTGGATGGGTGGATGGATGGATGGGCAAGCTACATTTCTTTGCTGAGCTACTTCTTCACTGAGAGAGGCCTCTTAGCTGAGGCACCTCTTCTCTTCTGAGCACTCCAAAAAAACGCCCCCAGTATCATGGGAAATGGGTGGGTATCAAAAAGAAAACTGGATGATTAGAGCTGCTCACGTCCGGTTTGTCTCCCAAAGCCAAGCAGCTGGGACTGGGCCTGTTGACCGGAGATCCCGAGGTGAGATAGAAAAAGGTCCGATATCCCAGGGTTGTAGGTAATTTTTGTTATCAGCTTTTGTTATTTCAATAGATATAAATCACGGAATTGATGCCAAGAATAACATGTGCACACATATTGTTTTTGGATGGTTTTGGATGTTTTGGTGCATGCACACTACATGTCAATCATTTTTGTCACTTCCATTTTATTTTTTAGAAATATGCATCACATGCATTTCATGTTGCCATCCAGTAAGTTAACATGAACCCTGAGCATAGCCGTCTTTTAGTGGAGCCTAATCTTCCAACCCTCAACTCATTGCAGGAGCTGTGTTGGGGGGATGGTAAGCAGCACGCAAAGTATGCATTTGTTCACCAAGAACAGATATTTTTCACCTACGTTCCACATCATTCTATTCAGTACAGGGTGTAGGAACGCGAGAAAACCAATGCAAGAGGATGACCTGGTTTTCAAATTCTGGTGCTATCCTCTTGAGAATGGCCAAAAACGTCATCATCATATATAATCATATATATATATACACCATATGGATCCAAAACCCTTCCTCAGAAGGAATTTGAAGTCCTGAATTATACCCCAAACACTTTCGAACAAGGCACGGCTGGATCCATAGGAACACACTCCTATATCATATATATATATATATATACACATACAATTAATGGGTTTTTAATGGTATATATACATCATATATCCTCATGATATCCTATTTAATTCCATAGGGATATATATATATATAGAGGTTCAAACATGTGATGACATATATACATATACATTCACGTTTGAATACATTTACTTATGCATGGCATATACATTTACATATACATATACATATACATATTCATAATAATATTTATATTCATTTTCATATTCATATACATATACATATACATACACGTGCACATACACATGCACATATACATTATACATACATACATACATGCATGCATGCATGCATGCATGCATGCTTGCATATATACAGTCATACTGTACATACATACATGCATGCATGCATGCATACATACATACATACACTCATACAAACAAACAAACATACATACATACAGACAGACATGCATACATACATAGATACATAGATACATAGATACATACATAGATACATAGATACATAGATACATAGATACATAGATACATAGATAGGTAGATAGATAGATAGACACATAGATGCACAGATACATATATACATACATAGATACATACATACATGCATACATACATACCTACCTACCTACCTACCTACCTACATACATACATACATACATACATGAATAATGATGTACTTATATATATATATATATATTTATTTATTTTTCACACACACACCATATATCCCCATGAGATCCCATGGAAAATCCAGTATATATATATATTTATATGTGTGTGTGTTTTTTTTTTTCTCTCTCTCTCTCTCTCCATAACCCGTGAGGAAGTCCAAGAGTTTGAAGTCGATGACCCTCCTCCGCGTGAAGAGGTGAGGTTTTAAAAACAGGGCATCCGAAGTGGGTAACCTGGCACAAAATAAACGATTTACCCGGTAATTTAACAGTTCGCTATTGAAAATAAACCATTTGTAGGTTATTTACCTACTCAAACTAGTGATTTTCTATATTAAATGAGCAGTTTGCCATTGAAAATGGCCACAGAAATAGTTGATTTACCCATAAAAAAATATTTTCCATAGTTTTTTGTATGTCTACCAGAGGGTAAGCGATTTATTTTGGACTCGGACACCTTTGGGATATGTATGATTAACAGGAACTAACAAATTTTACTCCGATCGCCTTGGGGGGAGTTCACATGGAGTCATGGGATGTGCCATTCCAACCCCCCGCAGATTCACCTGGGATGCACCGCAGGGCTATCGGACGGATTATTACAACATCCGCCGCTCCTGGATTTGGTCCGATGCCATCAGCCGCTTGACGCTACGCGACTGTGGAAGTCTACCATTCACTGGATTGGAAGGAAAATCTAAAGGAACTCCAGGCTCTTGCAATGAAATACATGGTTTTCCATGGTTTTCCATGGTTTTCCGGCACATTTATTTCATCAATAATTTGACGATAGTATAGTATCATAGAGTTTGATAGCCTTTGACGAATCCCTGTATCCGAAACGAGTTTGTTCTTGCGGTTGCATTCAACTCTTAGGCCATTGTCAGCAGGTCGCTATATTTCAACTGCAGATGTGCCATGATGTGATTGAAATCTCATATTCAATGTGCCATATAACTGCAGATGTGCCAATAATCATCCATAAACATTTCATAGTGACTGAATATGGATGTTTATGGCATCACAAGCCACAAGACATGAGTGTTGGAGTGGCCCCAACTGGCTCCCAGCATGGGATGGGTACATTGAACTTACAACATGACCGGTTTTACTTGGTGCGGTTTCTGGAAGTCTTACTGTATTTTGGGCCCATGTTTGCACGCAATTGCTTGGTGCAATCATGTTTCACAATTTTCATTGGTCAGGCCCACCAATCATTCGTCGAAGCCCACTGACAGCCACAGGCACGCACTCAGAGGAAGAGGAAGAAGATCGGAAGGCGCAGACATGGTGCGTCCAATCGACTGGATTAATTAAAGGTTGGTAGATAGGCTGATTTGTAACCGTACCTTGGGATAAATATAATACTAATATAATATAGTCCGACAGCGTAAATTTATGTAAATTCCACTACTTTTTTTTTGTGGGCTACTTAAGGTTGACTGTATCACACAGGGAAGTTGACTGTATCTATCTATCTATCTATCTACCTATCTATCTATCCATCTATCTATCTATATATATATATCTCTATATATATCTATATATATATATCTTTATATATATATATATCTATGTATATATATCTATATATATATCTATATATCTATATATCTATATATCTATATAAATATCTCTATATCTCTCTCTATATATATAGTTTTATACCACCATATATCTATATATTTTTAAATCTATATATCTATTTATCTATATATCTATATATATGTATATATATATATATATCTAAAAAGTTTGCATTATCATCCGGATGATATTCAAACCCCAAGCCAACCCTGAACCAAACCTTATATAAATAGATCTTAAACCAACTCGATGATAACATCAAATGAAACTATTGTGCATCGTTGTGCCTTAACCTACATTCCACATGTTTCCAAGGTGCATGTCGTGTAGTATATACACCTTGAGTATCACATTCAACCTAGCACCTTGCATGTGAAAATAGGTGTTTCCAATCTGCTTTGGGGGAGGCGCTGCGCCCTCCCCCCCAATCCCCCCCTCCCGTTTTTTTTAATTTAAATTCAAGCTTGCACACATTTCAATACACTAGTTTGGTTAGTATATATATATATACATTATATATATATACACATTATATATATATATATATTGTATATATATATACATATGGTTGTTTATATACACAGCTTTCATCCCAAAATAAACTGTAAATAATCATGTGCATGCATATGCGTCCACATAAGTATAGTTATTTGTATGTACATGTTGTATCCCTAAATAACCCCTAATCCAACCCTAAACAAACCCTAAACAGACCCTAAACCAGCCCTAAAGAAACCTTAAAACCAACCCTAAATAGACCTTAAACAAATCTAGAATAAACCATAAAGCAACCCTAAATAAACCCTAAAACCAAACCCTGCAGATATATTAATTACACTTGTAAATACATTGATCTACATATGCATATAGTCATGATTAGTCATGCATGTATACCTCTATACATCTACAGTTTATAGTTTGCACATCATGTATCTCCAAAAATCAATGAACACTTCGGAAAAAAACAATGAAAACAATGTAAAAATCAATGAAAACTTTGGAACAATGAATGAAAACCAGTAAAACATGAATGAACACCATACAAAAATTGAAGAAAAACATAGAAAATTCCATTGACAAATGGAAGAAAACCACGGAACAATCGAAGAAGACCATAGAGCAATTGAAGAAAACCATGGAAAAATTGAAGAATACTATGGCAAAATTGACGAAAACCATGGAAAATCCATGAACATCTTGGAAAATTCCATGAAAATCATGGAAAAATCAATGAAGACAATGGAAAACTCGATAAGCACCATGGAAAAATTCATGAAACCACTGGAAAAATTGATGAACAGTGCGAATGAGAGATTTTAGCTACAAAATGCAGCAAATGAGAGATTTTAGGTGCAAAAAGCAAGGAAGGGAACCTGGACGACCAAAAAAAAAAATTGCCCAAAAAAATAAAAAAATGCCAACTTAATTTCGCGCCCAAAAAGAAGGAAGGAAGGAACAAAGGAAAGAAGCAAGGAAGGAGGGAGGGAGGGAGGAACGAAGGAAGGAAAAAGGGAAAAGGGAAAAAAAAAACTGAATATGTTTTTTTTGATGCTTTCGAGCAGCTTGATCTCCCCTAGCCTCGGGGGATCAAGAAAAAATATTTCCAGATCAAAAAAAAAATTAACCTAACCTACCACTAAATTTAGACGAAATAGGCAATATTTTTTAAAGATCCTAGTGTTTTATTTTTTTTTGATCTGGATTTTTTTTTTCTGATCCTCCACTCTTGATGCCATAGTGCGGAGTGTTGTTTTGATCTCTTGGTCGATGGTTTCCCAACAAAGGGGTCTCATGAATCATGAAGAAGGGACATCGATTTGCCTGCTGACTGGTAATTTCACATAGCCACGGAAAATCATAGTTGATCTGTAAATATTAACCTACAACCGGGCCATGTTCCATGGCTATGTCAAAATTCATCGACTCGGTGACCCTGACCCAATCCAGCTCGCCGTCACAGGGGCAATCTGAAAAGGATGCTGCTTGCCTCGATGTTAAGGGTTGGGACCAACACCGAGAGATCCCTGATGGATTCTTCCCCAGAAAATCTGCGAAATTTGCTCATTATGTAAGTGATAAAAAAAAGCAATGTAAACTCCGATGTTCAGTCAAGGTTCTTAAAAAATGGTGATATTCTACTACCGCGTTGGAATACCAGAGAATAAATGCCCTTTGGAAGTTGTTCCCCTCTGACACTGATATACATACATAATATACATATATATATATATTTATTTACATACATATATAATATATACATATACATATACATGTATTCCCGTCCCGGTTGTAAAGACTTGAGCATGACCTTTCTGATGTAGCATTTTGGCTTTTAGCTACACGTTTTTTCATGCCCCCCCCTGTGTGCACCACCTGTGGAAAGTGGGTGGAGCAAGGGGGTGGGGTGTGCGCGATTTGCCGCACCCTCGATCGGCTTTCGGCCTTGATCCGGGGGTCTTCTATACCCCTGAGTGCCGAGGGGGTGCTGCTGCGGGCGCTCCGGGGGTGGCTGGCCGAGGTACAAGACATTGGGGAGATCTGCAGGGGGGTCGTGCCAAACCCCTCGGGACCCCAACTGACCCCTGGTGGTGAAATCCGGGGGGTTATAGGGCCACCACTGCCGCCACCTCCAAATACTGAGGGCCTACCCAAAGCTCCAAGTGTAGTGACGGCTGCGACCTCAAAAGCCCCTCCGCCTGTCAAAACCGAGACCCAAGAAGCAGCGTTGCCGCCCGCTGTACCTGCCGAAGAAGCACTGCCACCTGCAAAGCCAGAGCCTGTGGATAAGAGAGCAAAGTCTGAGCATTCGCAGGACGAGAGACCGCCTTTACCTCGCAGGAGTCACCGTCCTCGTAGTCGCAGTCGGAGCCCAAGGAGTCGCCATCGCAAGCGGAGTCGTCGGACTCGGAGCCGCAGTCGAAGGCGACGACCCATCAAGAGGGAGCCTAGCCCAGCTCCTAGGACACCTGCAGAAGGACCGGGTGTTGAGACGGCCGAGTACTACGAAGAGGGGGAGGAAGAAGAGCATTTCACCCCTGATCTGGAGCGGCCTCGGAGCCCTTCACGGCCACCTCCTCCTCGAAGGGAGGTCCCAGACAGGCGGAGCCCTAGGCCTGGTGGGTCAAGGTGGCAGGGGCCTATCAGGGCTTACAGGAGAGAGCCACCTCCTGGACAGGGAAAACACTTTGGGAAAAACAAAGGAGTGACAAAACGGAAACGAAACAAAGCCTTCCGAGACCGCCAGGGCCGGAGGCGACCCCGCCACCGCTAGATGGCGCCGAAGCTGAGGCGCCCTGCGGCCTCCCCTGGGCGGGCACGGGGGAAGGCAAAGGCAAAGGCGGGTCCCGCCAGGCCGCGGCGGCCTGGTCCGGCAGCAGCAAAAGTCATCTTCAGTCATGCAGTGACCTTGGAACAGTGCAAAGGTTTTACAGACCTGGAACTTATGGAGGCTACATACTGGGCCGAGCCGGTCAGGGCGGCTTTCAAGATGGAGAGTATGCAGCTGGGCAAGGGGGAGCTGTACTTGAAGGGGCGTCTCTTGGGTACGCAGTCCGAGCGGCTCCTAAAGGTGGCGACGGGATTGCCGGACCACCGGGTGGATGTCCACCTGTGCGATTACACCTGCGGGGGAACTCCGCACCGCGACGACCTGATCCACGTCACCAAGTTCAAGCAGTTAGGGGACGACCGGGAGCCGTGGATGAGCAACCTGGGTCCCGTAGAAGCCCCACCCGACACCGGGGAGGACGAACTTCAGGTGCTGAGGGCCGATCAGCGACGCCGAGGAGGAGAAACTCCTGGAGAGGGAGTGGCTCACGGACGCGACAAACGAAGCCGGTCACGAAGGAGGCGGAGTCGGAGTCGGAAGCGGCGGAAAACAGGTTTGAAGGTCGAGAGCCAAAAGGAGATAGTGGCCCTTTTCCAAAACACCGGCCTGGACCCCGACCCAAAAGTCCGACGACGGTTCAGGCGGCGCGCAGGCAAGATAGCCCGGAAGAAGAGGATGGGCTCCAGCTCCTCATCGGGGAGCAGCACCGACAGCAGTCCCGCCGAAGAGACGCTTCCGGCCGACGATATGCACCTGTTCGGGGGCAGTGGAAGGGTGCAGCTCATCGGACGCCGTCTGCCAGGGTCGTTGGCCGCTGCGGCCTTGGACGAGGCGTCGGATGCGCTAGTGACCCACGAGGGGGGGTTATGGGACCTCCACTCGGGGGCACTCCCCCCCTTGTTTGTCCGGCATTTTCGTCAACAACTCAGCTCAAAGATGAGCCCCGCCATGTCACGAGAAGCTCAAACGATATCCCACCTCCTCGATCACCTGTTGCGGGGGAAGGTGGCGGACGCGCTCGATCTGGGCGCCCAACGCCTCAAGGCGTTAGAAGCACAGGCCAGCGGCGTACATTTTACAGTAGCTCAACAACAAGAATTGATTCCCAAGGAGGGGGCTTCAATGAGTACAGTAGTGGAAATGCAGGACGCTGCCCGTCGGGCGCGGGAGGAAGGGAAGATGCGATTGGAGAGTTCGCGCCCCTACGGGAGCCGGAGCTCCTATCCTCCTCGGACCGAGGACCATGGCAAGGGCAACCAACGGAAGGGCGGCAAAGGAAAAGGTGGCAAGACCGAGACCAAGAAGGGCGAGGGCAAAAAAGGCGACAACAAGGAGGCCAAGGGGAGTTAGCAGCAAGCTCCTCAGTTCAGGGCGACTCAAACCATGTTTCACCGATTCAGACACTAATCCCTTCCTCCTAATACTAAACGTCCCCCTAATACTAAAAACAGGCATCCATCTCCAATTTCCGAAAATTTCAGTTTGGCCAATTTGACTTTTAATTGATCCCCTTTATAAAACAATTTAAAAATCAACCTACCATTTGTGGGTTCTCCCCCCTAATACTAAAAACTAGTTCACCCCGGGGTGTTTAGTATTAGGGGGGCCTAGTCCCAATCCCTCACTCCAAGCTGCCTGGCTACTCTAGCAATTAGGGGTAAGCTTCGAACTGCCATTTTTGGCAATATTTTAATTGCGTTATATAAGGAAATTTAATTGATTTTGAGATCGGAAAAAATAGTTTTTAGTATTAAGGGTTTTAATTTAGTATTAGGGGTAAGCTTCGAACTGCCATTTTTGGCAATATTTTAATTGCGTTATATAAGGAAATTTAATTGATTTTGAGATCGGAAAAAATAGTTTTTAGTATTAAGGGTTTTAATTTAGTATTAGGGGTAAGCTTCGAACTGCCATTTTTGGCAATATTTTGGTTCCCTAATAATAAATACCCCCCTAATACTAAAAACTACCTGCCGTGTTTTGTATTAGGGGGGGGAGGGGGGGGGGTTTAGTATTAGGAGGAAGGGATTACGAAAATTCCCCTGTTTGGCACCGGGGGAAAACGGCGGGAGTGGGCCACTCCTAGGTCAACCGCAGATCGAGTTGAAAAGGTTGGCTGCGGGAGAGGCTTGCTCTGGCCATACGGATTGTGGAGTGACTTTTGCAACTGGGCGGACTGAGCCTGGTAGCCACCTCACGGGGGTGGCACCGAATTGGGGTGACTTGAACCCTGAGTGCATGTCTGCGCTTACGCCGACGAGCGTGGGCCGCGCCGATACAGGGCTGCCAGCTGTAGATGCGTTTCACCAGAAGCTGGGTGCACACGGTCAGCGGCTGCGAGATTTGGGAGTCCATATTGATGCACTTCTCAAAAAATATCTTCGATCTACCACACGCAGCAAGACTTTGTCCACGGCGGTGAAGGATTTGTTTCCTTTACCCCTTGAGATTTGCAAAGAAGTGGACTCCCAGCGACAAGCCTGGCTAGAAGCGATGGTGATTGGGCTGAATGAGCTCAATGGCAGTGCAGCTGGAGAAGCTATGGTGGTATCCGAGGCGCAAAAAGAGGTTGGCCGTGTGTTGAGATCTTTTTTAGACAGGGTATGGACTTGGGATGAAGTGGTTCCTACAGAGGATTTTGGTACTTATTTCGACGTTAAGGGGGTCGATTATCGGGGTGAAGAGATACGACTGGCCCGGTCCTTCACCTGGGAGTGTATTGCTCCTTCTCTCCCTCAAGAAGTGGGTACCTTACAGTTAGAAGATTTCTGTTCGGGGGGATGCCTAAACTACATCAGATCCTTTGAGAACTATCTTGTCCCTCCGGAACTCCAGGTGTTAGGTCGTACCCCTAGAATTATGGTGGAAGAGCACGCCTGGGATCGGGTGTGTAAAGGGCCAATTGAGTCGGGTATTTGTGGTGTACTTCCAGTAGAAGACTTTTATACAGCTTCAGGGCGACCGTTACTAAATGGTCTTTTCGCTGTCGGAAAGAATGAATTTGTCAACTGCCGTGAGGTTTGTAGACTTATAATGAATTTGGTTCCGTTAAACCGCTTATGCCGCCCGATACAAGGAGACACTGGCACTATGCCGACCATTGCCAACTTCAGCAGCTTCTACCTGGAGGAAGGCGAGGTAGCAATGTTGGGGTCGGAGGACATAAAGTGTTTCTATTATCTGTTCCAAGTTCCCCCCGGTTGGCGAAAGTATTTGGGCTTTGCTAGGGAGGTGGCTCAGCATTTGCTGCCTCCTGACTTGAAAGGCAGGGTTTGCCATTTAGTGTCACTGGTTTTACCTATGGGTTTCATCAACTCGGTGGGATTGGCCCAGCACATCCACCGAAATGTGTGCCGATGGAGTGCTCCTGATGAACCTGAAGGGTGGGGAGCGCAACGGGAAATGAGGCGAGACCGTCCTGCCACGGTGTCCAAAGAGATCTTCAGGATTTACTTGGACAATTGGGACGAGCTCCGTAAGGTAGACCGGGACCTGGCAGCCGATGTGGAAGGCAAGCCTTCCGCCCATCAGTTGGCTCTACGGGCCCAGTATGAAGAGCTGCAACTCCCTCGCCACCCGAAGAAATCAGTTGAAGGGGGGTTGCGAGCTGAGGTACAAGGGGCCATATTTGATGGTCAGGAAGGGGTGGCTTATGCAAAGCCGTCTAAGGTCTTGAAATATGTGGGTCTCACCCTGGAGCTCCTGGACAGGGGGTCGGCCTCACAGCGGGAGCTTCAGGTAGTGGCTGGGGGGATGGTGTACATCACAATGTTCAGGAGAGCATTGTTGTGCTCCCTGAACGCCATCTGGAGGCAGATTGAAGACCTGAAACAGGAGCCTCCTGTAGTGCGACGTCCAATCCCCTTTAATGTCCAGGCCGAGATGATCCGCTTTGTGGCACTTGTGCCGCTAGGGCAAATGGATTTCAGGGCTACCATGCATCCTCAAGTCACAGCCAGTGACGCTTCAACTGCAGGCGGAGGTTTCTGTGTTACCTCAGGTCTCACCGCTTATGGGGTGTCCGCCTTGGCAGCACCTGTGCGGGGGGATATACCTGAGGCCTTTGATTATATTCAGGTATTAACGATCGGGTTGTTCGACGGTATCGCAGCACTGCGGGTGGCCGCTGACCTCCTGCACCTGCCCATGGCAGGCCACGTGAGCGTGGAGTGTAACGAAGCGGCCTCGAGGGTAGTTGAAAGTATGTTTCCGGGCTGCCTTCACTACAAGGATGTCTGCGCCATCACCGAGGAGGACGTGCGACAGTGGGCCTGTCGTTTCACTTCAGTGGGGGTAGTGCTGATCGGGGCGGGGCCTCCTTGCCAAGATGTCAGCAAGTTGAACGCGGACCGTAAGGGGGCCACACGGGGTCGCCGTAGCTCCTTGTTCCGGGAGGTTCCCAGGGTGGTCAGGATGGTTCGAACCGCCTTTCCGTGGGCTCAGACCCATTACATGATGGAAAATGTGGCGTCGATGGATGAAGATGACCGTGGTACGATGTCAGAGGGGGTGGACACTTACCCCTATCAGGTGGATGCCGCGGGGGTCAGTCTGGCCCATCGCCCGCGACTGTATTGGTTATCGTGGGAGTTGGTTCCGGAGGAGGGTTTAGCCCTATCAGAGTGGGTGGGGGAGCATTGGAATGCTTACCGTGTGGCCCAGCTCACGGCTGAATTTGATTACAAGGACTACGTGGAACCTGGCTGGGCCATCACTGCTGACCAACGACTCCCCACCTTTACCACGGCTAGACCCTCTGAAACTCCTGGGCGCAAGCCAGCAGGATTGAGTCGATGTGACCTCCCCACGAAAACCAGATGGAAAGAGGATAAACATCGATATCCCCCCTATCAATACCGGGCGGAAAACTGCCTCAAGCACAGTGACGGGCGTCTACGGCCGGCCACAATTGCCGAGCGTGAAACCATTCTTGGTTTCCCCCTGCACTATACAAAAAATTGCGTTGCCAAAAGCCATCAGGTGAGAGAGGCTTACTCTGATTTGAGGAAGACTCTTCTGGGCAATACCTGGTCGGTCCAAGTGGTTGTGTGCCTTCTGAAACAGCTGTTCCAGCCCTTGGGGTTGACACCAGTCTCCTCGATACAAGCCTTGATCGATAGCATGACTCCTGGCCGTGGGAGCCGGTTACAAATCCTCCTGCATCGTGCCCCATTGAGGCGAAATACAGACGCTCGGGTGCCTGAAGGCAACCTTGCCAAGCGACTGGGGGGTTTGGTATCGGTGAAGGGAGAAGACTTGCTCCTCCAAAGTCATACGGAGCCCCTGGTGAAATTCCACCGTCTTCGCAGTAGTGTGCCAAGTCGCTTGTGGACCTGGCGCGAAATCGCGGGATGGCAGTGGAAGGGGGACCCGGAACATATAAACCAGTTGGAGATGCGAGCAGTCCTGACCACATTGCGATGGTTAGTACTGCAACGTAAACGTTTCTCATGTCGTATCCTCCATTTAACTGACTCCCTTGTTGTTTTACATTCGCTGTCAAGGGGCAGGAGCTCAAGCCGAAAACTACGACGGACTATCATGCGGATCAATAGTTACTTGCTGGCGGCCAACCTTCACCCCCTGTGGGGGTACGTGCATACATCCCAAAACCCTGCCGACCGTCCGAGTCGGCGCCATCGGGTGAGAAAATGGGTAAAGTAAAGAAGCATCTGGAAGGCCGCACTAAGCAAGAACGTTGCAAAATCCGCAAAGATATGGGCTCCTTAAAGTCGCTGACGGTTCAACCAAAGACCCGAGCACGCTACGATCAAGCCCGCGATAAATTCTACTCCTTCCTCAAATTAAACTCTCTACTGCTGCCCAGGCAACGCTCTGAAATGGATAACCTCTTAACGGAATATCTTGAACATCTATGGGCCACGGGGGAGGGCCGAGCGCTGGCGTCGGATACCCTGGCCAGCTTACAGGACATCGATCCTCGGCTGCGGGGTCAGATACCGGCCTCTTGGCGCCTCCTCAAAACGTGGCAAGTTCACGAAATTCCGTCCCGTGCACCCCCCTTTCCTGAGAAGATTCTGCAGGCATTAGTAGGCTATTTCCTCTTCTACGAGGACCCAGCCATGGCCCTATCACTCCTGCTAGGATATTACGGTATGCTACGTACTGGGGAGGTACAGGCTATTCGTGCCCGTGATGTCCTGATCAGTGAAAGCCATACTAATGCTGTCGTGTCCCTTGGGTGGACAAAGACGGGAAAAAGAACTGGTGCCGCTGAAAGCGTTACCATCTCAGTAGTTGAAGTAATACGGCGTTTGAATCAATGGCAACACAATGTTCCCCCTAATTCTCTCATGGTTCCATCTGCCTCACAGTGGCGGAAAAAATTTAAAGAAGGCCTGGAGGCACTTGAAATTCAGTCTGTGGGGTTCCGACCTTATTCATTACGTCGTGGTGGGGCGACGTTCTGGTTTTCACGTCATGGATCCCTAGACCGCATTTTGTTACAAGGTCGTTGGCTTGCGGCTCGAACCGCTCGCACATATTTAAATGAGGGTCTAGCGGTACTGACCGACCTCAAAATCTCATCCCGAGCCATCACTGCGTTTCACAAAGTTTATGTAAATGCTTCTAGGCTGAAACTCCCACCTTGGCGGTCCCAAAATACTTGAGCATTCCGTCAGGAAGAGCAGGGGGACGTGGAGTATTCCCCTTTGGGGGGGCGTATGGTTCTTTATTTTGTCTTCTTTTGTTTGAGAAACACGGAGAAGTGTTGAATGCCGGTACCTGAGCTCATGGCGCTCGGATTGGCGGGCAAAGTGAGAGGTATGTGGGGGGCACTATTCCCTCCTTGGTTTGGCGGGGAGGGATAGTGTCGGGCCCCGAATGTTAAATAACCCGGTAGTGTGGTTATTTCTCTCTCTTTTAATTTGATAAATTGTGTCTTGCTGCGCTCAGAAAAAGAATGAGAAAGTCTTTGTATTCCCGTCCCGGTTGTAAAGACTTGAGCATGACCTTTCTGATGTAGCATTTTGGCTTTTAGCTCCCTTCCCCCCCACCTCCTGTTTTGGGAGATGAGGTCCTTGTGGAGTATTCCCCTGGGGGGGGCGTATGGTTCTTTATTTTGTCTTCTTTTGTTTGAGAAACACGGAGAAGTGTTGAATGCCGGTACCTGAGCTCATGGCGCTCAGATTGGCGGGCAAAGTGAGAGGTATGTGGGGGGCATTATTCCCTCCTTGGTTTGGCGGGGAGGGATAGTGTCGGGCCCCGAATGTTAAATAACCCGGTAGTGTGGTTATTTCTCTCTCTTTTAATTTGATAAATTGTGTCTTGCTGCGCTCAGAAAAAGAATGAGAAAGTCTTTATACATATACATATACATATACATATACATATTTATATAGATATACATATACATACATATATATATATATAAACATACATATATATACATACATATATATACATACATATATATACATATATATATATACACATACATATATATATATACATACATATATATATATACATATACATATACATATATATATACACATACATATATATATATATACATACATATATATATATATACATATACATATACATATAAAAATTATATATACATATACATACACATACACATACATATACATATACATACATATATATATATATATATATGTACACGGAACATGGAATCCCACATAATCCCACGTGTTTCCTTCGGAAAGCAACTGGTTGGCTTTATGTTTTCCAAAACCTTTGGAGAAAGTTCGTCAGAGAATCTTCGGATTCTTTGGCAATAGTACTCGTATGAGGCAATGCTGGTTAAACCATGTTGAGCCCCTATGTTTGATGGTTAAAGCCACCATGTTTGATGGTTGAAACCCTCAAAGACTCCTAGAACTTCTACCCTTCAGAAGCCATCATGAACCCAACCTCCCAGGCCCTCTATGCTCACACGTTGCTTGGCATCATGACCTCGTAACCACAATATAAATGATGGTTGAGATTGGCTTCTCCCCAAAATTCTAAAGAATGAAGGTTTCTGAATCACAGTTATTTGGACCAAGTTATATCAGCTATGGTTTTAAGCACGGTCAATTGTTAGTGTGTTTCCATGGTTTATCTAGTAGCACCGTTGCCGTATGGCATCCCTTGTTGTGTTTTTTTGCCAGAACCACCTGAAAATGACCACAGTGGTTTATTCGTGGTTGGTTGTTTCAATATTGTTTCAATATGTTTCAATGTGTGTTCTGAAAAATCCGAGCTTCGGATGATGTAATATGTGGTAGAAACCATTCGCCACTGCGGGTAAAAGGCTGTTGATATTCATCCCATCTTGACGGGATTTGACGGGCATGATGATATCAGATGTTCAAGGGGATGTAACATGATCAACATTTGATGAACCGGCATTCATGCCTACATAGCCTATACCCCATCCCATGTTTCTTCTCTGGTTTGAAACGTTGCTTGACATTGCTTGACCCTCGGAATGGCCAACTTCGCCGGATCCAGATTTGGGATTGTCTGAATATGAGGGAATGCCGCTAAAACTGCAATATCAATAGCGGCCATTGTAATAAGAATCACTTGATTTCCCCGTTGTTTCTATATTCATTATGAATATTGTGCGTAGTTAATCCCGCTTTTATATTCATAATAGGTATCCATATTATTTCATGTTATTTCGATATTGTGCATGTAAACCGACCCCCTTTCTTTATAATATCTAAATTCTACTTTATTTTTTTACATGTATACCTATGATATCCTCAGATTTGATATCCATTGAGTTGTGAGAGCCGATGCTCTCAAGGTGCATGGTCTCGAAAGGCGAGTACCTCACCAGTACCTTGGAAAAAATCCACCAGAAATTTCAATGCGCCGGTGCTTAAGCCAGAAACATGGCAGCAACATGGAGATTTGACACCAGCAACATGGTGAGTTTAAGCAACACCAACTGGACTGATTGGTGGTGACTGGAACATGAATTTTATATAGTTTTATGACTTTCCATGTAATTATTGGGAATTTCATCATCCCAACTGTTACTCACTCCATCATTTTTCAGAGGGGTAGGGCTCAACCACCAAGCAGTGGAGGTTTCGATGGGGGAAATGGGCGGTGAAACATGGCGGCGGAGCTTCAGCGGATGGCGAAACATCAAAAGGCTGATGTTTGTTGCTGCACATCGCGGCTTGATGTATAATATATATATATATATATTTATTTATTTATTTATGTATATGTATATGCATATATACCATTATTAAACACACACATATATATATATATCTTATACATAGTACATACAAAGAATAACTAAACCATCTACTTATATATATATATATACCTTGAGAAACTGTTGCCTTCTTTTTTTTGGGTTGCTAAAAAAACCTAGGTTTTTTTTTAAAAACCAGGTTTCTGAATTTGGTCCATAATACCTGACAAGAACAACACCAGAAGGAATGCAAAGAACACAACAAACATCTAACCACATCACCCTCTCCAGTGTAGAAATCGTCCTTGCCTCAATGTGATCCAACAAAAAACTCTAAACATCTCCAAACCCGTCCACATACACGCGGAACACGCTTTCCTTTTCTCCATCCAACTATTTCAACATCCCACACTTGACCATGGCTGAGTACGCACAAATGAGATATCGCTGCAAAGATCTCAAAGAAACTCGTCGTACATTTACACGGCGGCTGAGCCTACTGGCCCGGCCGACTGTGTCCTCGTCCATTTGGCAACCCCAAAGATTGGGGTTGCAGGCGGTCCTGACTTCCTGAATCGATCGTAGGATGTCTATGTGCAAATGGTGCCATATGTGAAGCTTGGGATACAACGGAAAGCACCATTGTTTTCCCCTGGCATACATGATGGTTGCAAACTCGTAGTACGTCTCCAAAAATTTTAGTCCCTGTTCAGCGACAAATCGTCCTTCGTCCTCTGACAAGAAAGCTCCAGATCGATAGAGCATGCTAAACATCTCGTTGACACGATAAGTAGTTGAACGGGCCTTTGCCAGTAGGCCATCACTATCCACCGGAACATCTCCAAGTAGGGAAACCATCCACAACATAAAATTCGTTGTGAGTCCTCCTTTATGCCAATTTCCCATACATCCACCCGTCTCATTGTACGACAAAAGGTATGGAGTAATCTTGCTGATGTGACTTTGTTTTCGATTTCTGGAACACCAGCCATGGTAATGGTCTGTCAAATAATCCCATTTTTCATCAAGATTCGGCAATGGAAGTTGTGGAAGAATCAATTGCACAAGACTTGCAATCCAGGAACGCCCGAAGCCCAAGTGAAACACATGCCAGATGTCGCTCTTGAAGAATGAAGCTGGGTCATGTCTGTCGTGTACTAGGTGTGTGATCAAGGATGGCTCCCTGACCCATGGTAGCTTGACACCCACAGTTGAAAGCCATCTTGGGGTAGTTGTCGCAATTTCTTCAGCAGCACATAAATTTGTACCAGCCAAGCAGTATGGACAAACACCCTTGGGAGGTCCACGTTCCTGTCCACGTTTTGCGGTGGTGTTGTAGCTCCGATAAAAATGACCAACTTTTGAAAGGTATGGTGCGTCTCCTTTCACCCCCAGGATGCAAATACGAAAGGTCTCGCCACCCCTCGTATGGTCAAAATACCCATAGTCCAGCAACCTCCGACAAGATTTGGCAACATGGCCGGTGGCATCATGAAACAAGTTGGGTTGAAGATCGTAAGCAGTCTTCGGGATAGTACTGAGGATAAACCGTGTTGTAAACGAATGGCCAGCAAAGTTCACTTGGAGATCATCACGGCCACCCTCCCCCGGTTTTCTCACACGCTTTTCATCGTATCCACGACCCAAAGCGCTCTGTAAACTAGTCACCAACATACCTCCCTTCTTGAGGGTTCGTCCCTCATCACCGTGTATGAAAAATGCAGCACATCTAGATAAGTCCACACTGTCATCATCGAAGAGACTAAACCCAGGGTGAATTTCTTTGTAAGTGGTCCAAAATTGTTCCCACTTACGTCTGGCCCCTTCGTAGTCATGCAAGCAACATCCAGCCATCACCGGCCACATCCCACTTCTGACAATGAATTGAAGCCATGACTCCGGAGAAACCCATGGTAGGTCAGTCCCATCACAGGATATGTTGTGAATCGGAATGTCCAGCTGTGTTCTTTGTTTCTTAACTATTTTTTGAACATCTCTTTCAGAGTTTCTTTCACTACACCGTGCCCACTGCTGCACCCCAATTCTGGCCGCCGTCTCTTGCCCAACGTCATGGGCCACAGCTTGGGCAGTGAGGATTTGGCTCTTGCAGCTGGCCTCAGAGGAAACTGAAGTATGAAAGTCAAATTGGCCTTAGCTGTTTTCTTCGTATTGCATTTTTTCTTCCTCGGCTCAAAACTTGTTGAACATATACTGTGGTTGAAAGTCTTCAGAACACAAACAAATGTGTTGGAAAATCACATGTAGTCCATGCACACAAGCTAAAAAAGTGCAAAGTCTTTTGCACACGCATCGGGCTCAAACAGTGCGCTAAATTACCATTTGTTGGCTGCTTTGCCAGGAACGAAGTGTAAACTTCATGCCAGCGGCCATCTAGAATTTTGCATATATCTTTGCATGAATTCAGCACATGACATATCGCATGAGACTTTGACTTTTGTCATTCGCCTTACCTGTGCTTCGCACTTGCATGCTTGGCTTTTGCCATGATTTGTACACCACATATGAAAAGTATGGTCCATTGTCGATTTCTTTCACTGTGTCTCCTCCACGCCGCTCGTTCTTGCAGCCTTGCAAACCTAAGTTCCACTAGCGACTAAGCGAACAATAAAGTCAAACCGATATCCCGTGTCCGGTACTTGAACAATTCCACCGTTTGGACATGTGCGCACACAGACACACACCCAAAACAGTACAAACCAAATTTGGAGAAATCAGAAAATAACCAACTTCAAAACAATCAAACACATGGATGCAAACAAGTAACCCCCAAAATGGTTGATCAACGCAGCTTCTAAGAAAGCTGGTCCATGTGGATTTGCAGCCCCATACAAAACTATCATGTAGTCGAATGGGTCCTTTGATCCCTTGTAGCCAAAGACAGAATTGTGCCATCGAACTGCAGGATCATGGGTAAAGCCGATTTTGAATGTCATAGGTTTCTTTTCAGCATAAAGTTTCTCGATTGTTTTGATACAATGGTTCAAAACACTGCCTGGAGTGGAACCCGGCTTTGGGAGTGCCAATGATAAGCAATAGTCCATTTCAATTTTCCGGAAACAATCCTGAGACCTCGCGAGAATCTTTAAGTCAGGATAAAGTAAATACCGATCCTCCCAAGTCATGCGTTGACCATCAGGGTTTCGGGGATGTTGTGCATGGACACGAGTATCCTCCAAGGGCAAGTGATGGTGTTCAGAATGATGGTGCGCGGTGATCTTGGCCTCCGATCTCACACGCTTCACCGATTGCCAAGCATATGGCCCCAAATCAGCCTTGGGAATGTGCTGGCAATTAGATATTATATGTTAAGTATTGTTAAGTTGGATTCTTTGCATGCAACTTTAATCCACATGTGATACACCTGCAATCCCATTACTCAAACAACTCAAAGCCCAAGACCCTTTGGTGACAAGAGTCAGATCTATGGCAGCTAAGCAGTTCAACCAGAAAGTCATCCGAGTCATCCATGGCACAGCCATCAAGTAAGCTGCAAGCTACAGAGATGCATGGCAATGTTTCCGGTTTTCTGATGTGTTCCTGCTATTGGATAATAAAAAAGTAAAAATGTCATAGGTTTTTACCTGTAGTTTTGGGAAATATGGTTCTACAATGTTCTACATATATATGATCAAAATAAATATGAACATATTTGGGTCGTTTCCGCTATAGCCTGATATAGGGTTGGAGTGGTATTTTTTTTGGCCTAAAACATCACTTGGTCCTAATGTCCTAATTGATCAACCAGAGCCCGTATATACTGCAGTCACAACACTAACTTGTGTTTTCAGCCCACTCGTTTGCCATGCCAGCGCTGTGAGTTTCTGAGCACATGGCTCCTTCACCAACGTTGGCCGCGAAGCGCTTGGCTGACTTGCCAATGCGACCTGGCATCGTAATTTGGTGCGGGCCAAACGCAGGATGCAATATGTGTTGGCACCGGAGTGCATGTTGCATGCACGCATTGACTTTTTTTAACCCCAAGTCGCATGTTCTTGATGTTTGATGTCAAGTTGAAACCGCAATTGGTGTCTTGAATGGTGCGTCTCACACTGGCACTTTGAAAGTGAAGCCAAGCACGAACACATTGTTCAAACACAGCAAATACATCCAAAACATATACATCAACCAATTTTATGGTGGCTTTATTTTTTCCATGTGGCACCCCATTCACCAAAAGCCTGAAAGATATTCGGATTGCCATCAAATTTTGCATTGAATTGCGTCTAGGTAACGCAATGACCAAACTAAATGTAAATATTTTTGGAATGTCTCGCTGACAAATCCAGCCAATGAAGTATCAGCGCCCCAGGGCCCATGAGACTGACATGGACCGATGATCACTTTTTGACTTGCTCCTCATCCTTGACCACCACCTTCTTGAAGTGCCGCTTTGCGGACCTAGGGTACAGGGATGTACAGGGGGAACAACATGGGGGTCCATCACACTGTTGGGTGTTGGAAGACAATTTCAAAATGATAAAATGTTCATGGCTTGACAACTTGTCCCAGGATTTGCTTTGCCTGCTGCATCACTGGCTTGCTATACTCCTTGGGGCCCTGACCGAATCTTGGCTTCGGTCGCGGCCACTTTGGTGCACCTGGTGCAAAATGGACTCCATTGAAACAATCTATTTTTCGAAAATGAATCATTTGTGATGGTGAACTGATAGTTCTTGATCACTAAAAGTTTCAAACCACCAAGGCACGTAAAGGTGGACAGTTTCAGGATCTTCTCAGACTCTGCAGACCACCTGGGATATTGTCTGTATATACATGATATATACTGTCGTCTATGGTATATGTTCCGATTTATCGATTGAAAAAAATTTACGATCATAAACATCAAACAACATTTAAGTGTTAGGAGTGCAGATACATCGACATAAAAAACAATGTGCAAACAAAGTTGCTCCTTGGAATGATCATCCCGTTCTCCCTTGGCCATGTGCTCCGACAACTTGTTGTACTCCGAGTCCAAGACTTTCAGGTCATTGTTCAGAGTTTCCACAGCCCTCGGACATGCAAGCTTGGATGGGCAATGCTGCACTGGAGGCATGTGATCTGGGCACATGGAATCTTTAAAATGCATTTTGAAGCTGCCATATTTTTCATGAAGTTGTGAACTATATATAGTACTAGGACTAGTAGCTTCATCGCTGTGGAATCCTGGTTATAGTTTTTCTGCAAGTCGGTGATGAGCGATCGAATCTTGGACGTCTTGGACAGCACAGACTCCGTATGTTTGGCGAAAAGGTCTTGTGACCTCAATGCCTTCCAAGATCAAAAATTCGAGGGCAATGTTTTTATGGTACAACAGACACCGAGACCACTAAAGTTCGAATCCTTAAAGAATATTATTTCCCCACCTGCCAGGTGAGGGTTGTTAGATTTTATCAGAGCTATTCTCCTCCTCCTCCTCCTCCTCCTCGGCTAGCTGTCCTCCTCCTCCTCCTCGTCCTCCTCCTCCTCCCCCTCTAGTTTCTCCTCAACCATGTCTGCATCAACTTCCACCTCCACTTCCGCCTTGCCAACTCTTCGCCAAGCTCTTTGCCAACTCTCTTCGCCAAGCTCTTTGCCAACTTCCCAGCTCAGTTGGGACCTCAACCTGGGACCTGCCCAGCTCAGTGTGCACCGCTGGACCTCAAGCGGGACCGTCTCAGCTCAGTGTGCACCGCTGGACCTCAACCTGGGACCTGCCCAGCCCAGTGTGCACCGCTGCACCTCAACCTGGGATTTGCCCAGCGCAGTGTGCACCGCTGGACCTCAACCGGGGACCTCCCCAGCTCAGTGTGCACTGCTGGACCTCAACGGGCAGATAGAATGCCAGAAGATATGCCAGATAGAATGTCAGATGGAATGCCAGAAGATATGCCAGATAAAATTCCATGAGATATGCCCAATAGAATGCCAGAAGATATGCCAGATAGAATGCCAGAAGATATACCAGATAAAATGCCAGAAGATATGCCAGATAGAATGCGAGAAGGTATGCCAAATAGAATGCCAGATAAAATATCAGATAGACTGCCACAAGATATGCCAGATAGAATCCCAGAAGATTTGCCAGATAATATGCCAGAAGATATGCCAGATAGAATGCCAAATAGAATGCCAGAAGATATGCCAGAACATCTTCCAGTAGAATGCCAGAAGACATGCCAGAAGATATACCAGAATATATGCCAGAAGATATGCCAGATAGAATGCCGGATCGAATGCCAGAAGATATGTCAGATAGAATGCCAGAAGATTTGCCAGTAACAAATCGATAAATGTCATGGTGGGGATCACTCGAAGTAAAGTATTTTGTGTTACATTGTCATGTATGTGTGCATGGTCACATGTTCTTGCATTATTTATTGTTTCTCATACATCCCGATCTGGAACAATGCACCTGAACAAACACATAAGAATATAATCATTCAATCGGGCACCATGGGCATGTAATTTCCCACACCTCGCTCGTAGCTGTACATTGGGCACTCCTGGCTGCAGCATCTCGTTCTGCATCAGCATCAACTCTGCCCAGGTTGACATCTGCAAGCTTTGGTCCATCTGACCCCTGTGGCAGGTCACACGTGGATTGGGACGATTCTGGGTTTGTGAGGATGAAAACCTAATGGTGGCACATGACACTTGGCACACAAGGGATAGGGGGGCTGTCCTGTGTTTGTTCAGTCGTTTCTTCAGAGGCTTTCTGCTGCTGCTCGTTGGTGCCCGTGTCCCGTACATTCACACGGTACTCATCATCACCGCCATATTGGCATCGCCTGCGGGCAAGATCAAAAAATAAACTGTTTTAGGGGAAGCTAATTCATGCAGTGACATTTTCTTTCACACGCAAGAATATGATGACTATGAAGATGCAAACAAAGTTTCCAAATTGAATCGTCTTTCAATAATTCTTGAAAAAGGTACTGACTTGATGGCATGGAGAGGAAGATGCAATCGGAATAAATATTGGGGTTTACCAACACCGGCCCTGAGGATCAACTCCATTGAAGATATCGAAAGGCCTGATGAGTTTGATAGGATCTTGCTCGCACAGCTTGATTGCCCCAGTGATTTTTTTCCTGGGTGTTCGGGGAAGGTGAAGGATATAGATGGATCGACATACATGGTTTTCATATCGATCAAGTCTATTTTTCAAACTAAAGTTGCAGGAATCCATCAACAATTATAACTCCACCGGCCACATGAATACATATTGATACCATGCTATACTTGTGAAGATAACCAAATAAAAATGATTGCATGCAGGGAACGCAGGCCACTTCAAGATTTTCACCATATCGTCCTTGGTATACCATCCACTAGAGATGACATTCGCATTCGTCTCGCTCTTGGTCAGGGTTTTGGTCTTGTACTGAATGAACCGATCCTGCAAGAACAGGCGCTGACTGGATCCAGAACAACAGCTTCGACAAGGGGCTGGAAGTTGGAGATGTGCTGGAGTATGCCAGGGTTTCGATTCTTGGAATGATTGTTAAAACCTAAGACATCTTAAAACCAAACATTTTTTCGATGGTCTCCTTGTTGAAATTGCAAGATTGAAACTCTTGCGCGAGTTTCAGATGGTCACCCGACTTCCACATGTCATGCAACCACTGGGGTACCTGTAGGCGACCCCCTTTCTTTGGTTCGCACAGCCTTCGCAATCGTGCCTTCAAAGCCGCGTTGTCCTTTGTTGGCCGGAACATGTCGGAACATCCCATGTGGAATTCCATCAATGTTTTAAGACCAAAAAAGGCATCCCAAATCAAATATGTTCGGGTGTCTTCAGATTGGTTATTATTACGCATTCAATTTTTTCAATGGGAGAAAATGAAAGTAATTGGTAAATATCAAAAGCAACATGCTCATGATTGTTGAACGGATGATCAAGTATCAGACTTGGCCTTTTTGGCTGATTCGATGAAATCATCAAGTTCGGCATCATCCACCGGGGAATCATCAATTGAAGTGGGAACTACTGTTGGGGTCACCTCAGCAATGGGCCTCTTTTGGCCACCTGCAGTGGGTCGGTCACCTTCCCCAAGGAGCTTCGCTGCCAGACTGTCATCAATCTGGCCACTTGCAAGCAGCTCATGCACTTTGGCTCTTACCTTGCGATGGTGAGGATTGGAGGAACTTTGGATTAGAAACCAGCACCTCTATCGTAAGTAATTAATGCCAATACTTTCAAGGATATTTTCTTGGGTGCCCAGTTTCGCTAGAAGGTAACAGGTTTGATCCCTAACAGGAAAGGTATGGCGAGAATTGCTAACATGTCGACTTTTGAAAACAGTATCCAGTTAAGCTCAACCCCAGGGACAGCATCATCACCATTCGAAGCAGATGATGGTACAGGTGAAGTTGGTGACACAACAGCTTTGCTACCCCCATCAGAGCTAGCATAGGTTGGAGACTTCCCCAGCGACTCAGCAACTTGGGTATCAGTGGCAGGCAAGGTATCCCCCAAGGCGCCCAAGGAGTCATGCTGAGGCGAAGCCTCAGGAAACAAGCTCATGGGATCCCGTCGCATATATATGATGTAAGCTTCAACCCCAGTCAATGGCTGAAACATGTTTATTCTCTTTTGGCATCTAGATATGTCTTCAAATACCTGCCCGCACAAAGGGTTCCAAAAAACGAACACCAAAACCCAACATATATGCATGCAGTCCAGAAACGATGCTCTGTAGCTGCAACCTCTCCAAGGATTCGGCCTGATGAAGCCGAACAAGCTGCTTTGCTGAAATCTTCAAGGGACCTACATGGTTGAACTTGGGATGGGGATTCCAAAACGAAGCCATGCTTGAAGGAATCAACTGTTTGAAATGAAACCCCAATCAAAAATCACGATGCATCACAATTCAATTTCTATGTGTTGTTGTTTGGATGT